GAAGATGGGAAAGGGTGTCAAGAAGAGGTCTGGCTAGAGTACTAACTTGGAGGTTCAGGTAACACTTTGGACTGGGAGATTGGTAAATGGAAGGCGTTACAGCCTGGCCTCACAGTCAGCCCTGGACTGAGCATAGCGTAGGTACACAGACTGTATCCTATCCGCACCTGCCTCATCCTTGTAAATTCCTTTTTTTTTTTTTTTTTTTTTTTGCTTTTTGGCTTTTTACTAGGCAATTGGGGTTAAGTGACTTGCCCAAGGTCACACAGCTGGTAGGTGTTATGTGTCTGAGACTGGATTTGAACTCAGGTCCTCCTGACTTCAAGGCTGGAGCTCTATCCATTGCGCCACCTAGCTGCCCCATCCTTGTAGATTCTTAAGGAGGTCACTGATAACCTGTTAAAGAACAAAAGGATAATTTATTAACCCCCCCCCCCCCAAAAAAAAAGTAATTGCACAGGCTTCTCCGAATTGGAGTCAGATGCTATATGATATTGTGTGTTCATTGTTTTAGCGTGAGTTCATAGTTCGTTTGAACTGAATAAGCTGGGAAGAGGAGAACTGCTTCTATAAGTCTTCCCCCCAATTTGTCTCATTGAAAAATGACTTCACCATTTTAGGTCTTTCAGATAACTCCTAAGGGAAAGTGTTTCATTTGTCAGTGACCTTTATAATCTATTTCTCTCTGTCTCTTAGCTATTTATTGCGAAGGCAATATTGGATTGTTACAACTATGTAAAGGCAATATATAACATAAAGGCAATATCAGGAAATCAGGTTTCTGGTTTACAGACGATTGTTTGCTACTACTGAGTCTTCCCTTTTGAGGTCTGATTTCAGTTTGTGGCTTGACACCTTGGTTATTCTGGAGATAATTGCTTGAGATAAGATTCAAGGGGGACTGTGCAGATAAGACTTGCTTTTTATGAGTGTTTCTAAGAACAAAGATGGGCAACTAAGTGACACAGCGGATAGAGTGCCGGTCCTGCAATCAGGAAGACTCCTCATCCTGAGGTCAAATCCTGTCTTAGACATATCCTAGCTGTGTGACCCTGGGCAAGTCACTTCACCCTGTTTGCCTCAGTTCCTCATCTGTAAAATGAGCCGGAGAAGGAAATGGCAACTGCTCCAGGATCTTTGCCAGGAAAACCCCAAATGGGGTCACACAGTCAGACATGACTAAGGTGACCACAAAAAATAACAAAGATGCAAGGAAAAGAAATCTGGGAATTTGCACTTTCAGGCCAATTCATTTCTCAGTAGCTAGTAAGGGATGCAAGCTATTACTGCAAAGTCAGTGCAAATATTTAAGAACAGCTCGAATTTAAAGGGAGGGTCCTTAGAGTGAAAATTCTGCCGTAAAGTCTTAAGATGAAAAAAACAAAGTCCTCTAAGTCGTTTGTTCGATGGAGGAAAGCTCCCATATCCTGTGCAAGCCCAGGTGCTGGAAAAAGGCTTCCTTTTTTGCAGCTGAAGAATGCTGGCCGTTCTGGTGACTTTGCCCGCAAGAGCAGGCTCATCCCTGCCAGCCACAGGGCATTTAATGCTGTTACTGTTCTTTTGTCTCCTCTGGCCCAGTACATCGAATCTCCAGATGTGGAAAAGGAGGTCAAGAGACTGCTGAGTACAGATGCTGAAGCTGTCAGTACCCGTATCCTTTTGTATCTAAAGTCTTGAAGCCTGGGAGATCCTCTGGGCCTGTGAACTTGTTTTCTTCATTTAGCCTTTAGTAAAGGCATTTACTAAGCTGGTATGGTAAGAACTGTTGGTTCAGACCGGGGCACACTCTCCCATAAACACACATAGTGGCCATGTTTTCTTCATTTAGCTAGCAGAAACCAAGATAATCAGATTTGTTTGGTGCTCATGTTAATATAGGGCCTCCATTAACCACTATCAGGGCACTTGGCTATACTCAGAATCTAGGCACAATTGGGCTTCTGTCAGACCTAACTAAGTAACGCTTCAGTTAAAGAGACTCTTTAGAGACCTTGTACTTCTCTTACCTTTTCCTTAATTGCACCTGTTTTCAGGATGGGAGGTCATTGCTGAAGATGAAACAAAGGACACAGATAACCATGGTTCCCTGAACAGCCTGGACATCTCTCCAGGAACGAGTAGCAGTAAGCAGGGCTATAGCTCATCAGGTATTGCATTCCCTTAGGCAGAGCTTTTGCTGGAGAGGGGTTTCTGACTGTTTGTTGGATAAGCCGCTTCCATAAACCTGCAGGCTCTCGTTTGCAAAGGATTCCTAGGCCTCCCTTCAACCTTTCTTGGTGACTGGCTCTTTGGTTTGGGATTAGTATCCTCATTTCTCTCCCATCCTTAATTACTTAACGTGTGGAGAGGACTTTTCAAGTGTTTCCTGGTCCTAACTCATCTACTCAGCATAGTGGTGGGAGGCATTTGAAATACTGCATTTATTTGTTGTTTCCTCTTATTTCAAACTACCAGAACACGAGCTCCGAGAGATATTTAATGACATTAGTAGCAGCAGTGATGATGACGATGATCAGGATCACCATGACGATGAAGATATAAACATCCTTGACACCGAGGAAGACCTGGAGAAGCCACCACAGAGCACCCACGATGAATCTGATCAACGGCGCCAAGAAGATAAGAAAGCAAATCTCCTGGGTAAGTCCCAAGCGGCAGGGGCCAGTCTTGGAGGCTGAGGCCCAGTGCTCACGAGTGCCAGGCAACTTTGAACAGGTGATGTTCAGATTGTGGGAAAACCAGCTGGTCACGATCACGGTCTGCCACAGGTGTCAGAGAGACTGAGGAGAAACAACTTTCTCTTAGTTGTAGGACTCCAGAAGCAGATTGATGTGATGAAGGGAAAGCATCAAGAGACTAGGGAGAGAGCAAAACGCCAGGAGGACCTCATCTTCAAAGTGGAAAATCTGGCCCTCAAGGTGAGTTGTATGATCGCCCCCTTGAGGGGCAGCACTTTTCCCCCCTCCCATCTTATCCAGTATTTGCTTATCTGTCCTCATGTACTGCCCTCTCTTCCCCCAGAAGTGAAGCTCTTTGTGAAGGCAGGAACTCATCCTTTTTTGCATTTGTTTACACAGCACTTTTTCACAGCGTAGCTCGTAATAACTGTTGAATTGAATTGAAGCCATGCTCTCTCCTTTAGAAAAATTATACACGTCACAAGTCATTTCTGGAAGAAAACCCCTCTTCTACATTAATGGTGCTTTCCTCTCTCCTCTATGCCCTGTCCTCCCCACCCACCACCCCTCGGATATGCATCTCGGGCTCGTTCTCCTTGGTTGTTTTTCATTTGCTCAGCTTAGCTTACTTTTAGTGATCGTTTTATTTACATTGTTGTCATTGTGTATGCTCTTTGGGTTCATTTGGGTACGTTTTTTGGATTTCTCTGACATCCTTACATTTACAGGATCTCAGAAATTTGTCATTCCTTACTAAGCAGTAATATTCCTTTACGTTTCAGAAACCACAGTTTGTTCACTCATTCCCCAACTTAGGGCATTTGCTTTGTTTCTAGTTCTTTATTTTTCCCTACTTAATAGCTGCTTCTCTTGTTCTTTTTTTATTTTTTCTGTGCAGAAGCTTTTTAATTTTATGTGGTTGAAAAGGTCTCCTTTGTCTTTACTAATCACCTCTATTCCTTGTGTAGTTAAGAATTCTCTCCCAGCCGTGGTTGTGAAAGGTATCTCCTGTTCTTTTGTGACCGATTATTTTCAAGTCATTGTCATACTGTATATATTGAATAGGGATTTCTTCCCCTAGTAATTATGTTCTCCTCAGCTAAGTTCCCATCTTTGAGTCTCATCTTTGTGTTTCCTTCCACATCACTTCTAGGCACCATGAGCTCCATTTCACTCTGAAATCTTCCCTTGAGGCCCCTATCCACCCTCCATCTTTTTCTTTATAACGGGGACACACCTAAAATCTAAAATATCATTTTGAGCATCTAATATGACCATTTGGGGAGCAGGAGCCAACTGGCTTAAAATATGTTTGTGTTAAACACCGTATGTGAATCTAAAAAGCAGGGGTTAGAATGATTTAGCTTTAATTGAAGAACCCTCATTCCCTGTCACTTTCCACTTACCGTTTGCACAGAAGAGGACTGTTGTCTTTTTAAAAAATGGCTATATGTGCCATTTTCTTCTCTTGGCATCCATTGCCTACATCAAGGGAGCCAAGAATTGAATTTTATCTTTTAACTATCTTCTGTTGCATGTTTGAGCAAAGGTGAGTAATTTGCTTTTTATTCTGACATGTTTAGCAAGTTTCAATGAAAGGAAAATTTGTTATTGAAATACATTTTTTCTGAGTTGGAGGAGGCTTCCAGGCCAGCTCCTACTGAAATGGGGACAGACTGGAGACGTCCATGCTGACTTCATCCTTGGTGAGGCCGTATCCTCTGGTTGTTCAAAAGGGCAGCTGCTCACAGAATGTGACAGATTTGGGATACTGCCCTTCGAGGGAGGAATCTATTGTTTTGAGATCATGTATGTGAAAGGAGAGAGATAGGGACAGAATGCATTTGTGATTTCATTGGTATAGGGAGCTCCTGAGCAAGGAGTCTTCCTCTACCAGTATTGAATGGCACCTTCTCTGCAGACCAGAGAGCTGCCTAGATCACGAGGAGATTAAGTGACTCCACTGGGGTCATGCATCCAGTATATAGATCAGAAGCAGGGCTTTCCAGGCACTCTACTATAATATAGAAAATGTTATGCAGATTAAGGTCATTTTTATTATTGCTGTAGCTTTGTAATAGTGGTTCTGAAACTTTTTGGTTTCCTAACTCCTTTACGCTCTTAAAAATTATTGAGGTCCCTCTCCCCAAAAGAGCTTTTGTTTATGTGAGTTCTGTCTATTGATTTTGACCTCTCAGATCCCCTAAAGGCTCTCGAGGTCCTGCAGGGCTTTCCAGACCACACTTTGAAACCCACTGCTTAAGAATGTTACTTAAGAATGATATTTGGCCATGAGGAAGGATCAGGATAAGGCAGCATAGGAATTCCAGTTAAACTGGCCATTTTGTTTCAAGGTTCAAGGTAGCCAAAGGATCACAGTGGTTCTGATGCCCAATTAGAAAAGGGTTAATAGTTTATCTGAAGGCATTCTGTAACCATTCATTTAGAGGAAAAAAGGAATGTTTTGTAGGGTGTTCTGAGTAAAGTGGTGCAGAGCTACAGTGGGGAGTGTGGTTTAAAAACATTAAATGGATGGAAAGAGAGAGCTTTTGTTATACCCCAGGGTTTCTGCTTGACTAACTGCTTCAAGAGCCCTTTGTCTCACTTGGTTATTGTCTCTTCATTGATGAGACCTAGCATTCATTGCTTCTATGATTTATTTTCCAGAACCGTCTTCAGGCTGTGCTGGATGAGCTCAAACAGCAGGAAGAACAAGAAAAGCAGCAGGTAAGGAGGTGCTCCGCAGACCAAGAATGGAAGCCTCCATCCGAACTGCTGTCTGACCCCATTGGGATGGGCAGGAACGACAGTGGCTAAATCCTCCCTGAGTGAGATGGCAGAAAGGGAGGAATGTCAGTGGTGGGCGGTGTGGAACAAGTCACCATGTGAAAAAGGTCTGCTGGCTCTTTTCCCATGGAGCTGTGTCCTCACACCGTTGTGGCAGTTTGAAAGAGCCCTGTGTAGACCCGGCAAGGGTGAATTCTTGCATTAGACTGGTTTTTGCTCCCCAGTGTGGGGTGTGTCCCCATGTCCTGTGGATCTTGAAGGACTCATCCACCCCTTCTTTCGTCAAGTCCCACACCTCTCTGTCCAGGTTTAAGTATCCCCTAGTCAGGTGCTAAATCTTGTCGTTTCTACCTCCACAATACCTTGTATCTCTCCCCTTTCCTCTCACAAGAGCACTGGTCACTGGTCCAATTTAGGCCCTTATCACAGTTTGTCTCCCTGCCTCACTCCCGCCTTCAAGCTACCCTCCACACAGTTGCCAAAATAATCTTCCTCAAGGACCGGTGTGACCATGACATTCCCCTACTCAGGAGTTCACCATTGTAGTGGTTCACCATTGCCTCTAGAATAAAATACAGACTCCTCCCTTTGGCAGTTAAAGCCCTTCAGAGTTTGCCTTCAGAATACTTTTCCAGATTGATTTCATAATGTTCTCCTTCCCACACTGGCCAAACTGAGCATTCTCTCCCCCACCTCTTTCCCTCTGCAGAGTCTGTGTCCCGTTCTTAGAGTGCTCTCCCCCTCTTCTCTGCCTCTTGGCATTTTGAGGTTCATTCAAGATTTAACTCAGGTGCCATGACCTAGAGCAGGGATTCTTCAGCTTTTTGGGTCGTGGACCCCTTTGGCAATCTGGGGAAGCCTGTGGGCCCCTTCTCACAATCATGATTTTAAATGAATCATGAAATAAAGTACCTCAGATTGCAAAGGAAACCAATTATATTGAAATAAATCTGTAACTTTTCTCTCATCCAAGTTCATGGACCCCCAGCATCTATCCCAGGTGAAAAATCCCTGACCTATAGGAAGCCCTTCCTGAACCGTTTAAGTTTTTAGTATTCTCTCCCTTATTCTGTATTTATGGATCTGTTTAAATATATTCTTCTCCCCTTCCCCCCCCCCATAGAATGTAAGCTCCTCAAGGGCAGGGTCTGTTGTGTTTCTGTCCATATCCACAGCACTTTGCAGTATCCTGCACATAGTAAGTGCTTAATAATGTTTGTTGGATTGGATTAAAGAAGCCAAGTGCAACGGGGTCTCCAGAGAGGGGAAAAGCGAGAGCTTTTTAGTGGCCTTGCAGCAATTCAGCCTTTTCTTGTAGTACTTTCACTTAAGGAAAATTGTTTACAACCAAAAAAGCAAGCAAGTAAACACGCCAGCTGCTTGGAGGGAATGGCATTTGAACTGGGTCTGGAAGGCCAGTGGTTTGGATTAGAGTTTTATTGTAGGAGTAGTGGTAGGAGGAGGGGGGGTAGGGATGGGTGAGGAATGTTGGCAGCAGTAACTCTAGTATTTGGACACAGAGATGGAGGGGAAATCGTTCAGGGGTCAGGCAGAATGAGCAGAGGCTCATCCATTTTGGTGTGTGTCTAGTGTGTGTGTGTTGGGGAGCAGTGAGAGACAAGGCTGTGTGGATAGGTCAGAGTCAGAATATGCATAGCTTTGAATCTCAGATTAAGGAGTTTGGACTGAATTCATTAGGAGACATTGGAAGCTTCTGAACAGGGAGGGTACTGATGCATTGAAATAAGCTTTATGATGCCCAGTTTAGCCAAAGTGTTTAGATCAGATTAGTAGGGAAGGATCTGAAGGTGGAGAAACCAGTTAAGAGGCTGCCCTAAACTAGTAGGGAATGGGAAGAAGGAAATGTACTGAAGAGCTCTCCCAAAGCTAGAGGTCACGGCGCTGGGCAGGCAGCTGTGCAAAGGTGAGGCAGGGGTTGGGGGGGGCGGGGCGGAGATAGTCCCGGAGGTATACACCCAGGTCTCAAGCCCGTGTGCCCAAGAGGGGGGTGGCACCATTGGCAGAAAGAATAAAGGGGGATTAGCTGCTTTGGGGAGGGGAGAGAGCATTTGTTTTGGACATCTTGAGAGGAGGGAGGGTTGTGTCATGCCGGGTCAAGCTGGTCAGCCAGCTTTGTAATTTGGAGCTGGAGTTCAGGAGAAGGGATGAACCTGAAGATACGGGTTTCGGAGTTGTCTGCGTAGAAGTGGTGGAAGGTGAGTACATGGGGATGAGAAAGTGATCAGGGACAGAATGTGGAGGAACTGCCCCCGTCTGGGGAGCCGGAGTGGAGGAGAGCCACGGCTTGACATTGTGGCCACTGAGCATCACTGAGGATACAGATGACTAGAGATCCTCGGGGTACCTCCCCAGTAGTTGGCACACATGCCCACAGTTTTGTAAGGCAATGTTTCTCCTACTTGAGTGTCATAGGGTAAAAATCACTATTGGGTATAGGGATATTAAATGGTATTTTCAAAAATCCTCATCTCACAGGTAATACTTTTGGTTCCTGTGTTAGCATGGCATAGTAGCTAGAGCAGTGGCCTGGGATTCAGGAAGAGCTGGGTTTGATTTCCACCTTAGACATTTACTAGCTGCGTGACTCTGGCCAAGTCACTTAGCCTCAGTTTCTTCACCTATAAAATGGGCATAATTATAGCACCTACCTCACAGGGATGTTGTGAGGCTCAAATAAGCTATTGTATGTAAAGCATTTGGCAAACCTTAAAGTACCATATGAATGTGAGCTATTATTAACACTGTTGATAAGTTTATATAACAAAGTCGAAACATAAAATAAATGTAAACCAAATAACCAACACAGAGAAGGAAGGCACTACATTCTGAGTTAGTGGCAGGTCAGATATAGCAGGCAGGACCTTAACCTATTCTGCGTGCTCCCCCCAGCATTGCAAGGAGCAGTGAGACCCAGCGTAGGCACCCTGAGTGGCTCTTGTTTGGCCCCGCGGCTGCCACTGTCCCATCTCCTGTTCCCCTGCAGAGAGTATGGTCTTCCTGTGCACTCCCTCCTAGCATCTTCACTGCCACCTTTGGAAACTTGCTTTTGTGTGCTTTCTGTAATCAAGGGCAACATCCTCCCTAGGGTTATTGCAGCATTTTGTAGCTGCACTCTTCATTGGGGCACCATTTTTATCCCTGATGAGGAATGAAAGACACCATATAAATGCCAAATGATAATTGTTCTTTTTGTTTCCTGCAAGCCTGAGTTCGGCATCATGTAAGTGCACCTAGATTTACAGATGAAATGTTTCTTTACCTCTCCCCTTGCAGCTCAGCTCCTTGCAGGAACAGCTGGACTCACTCCTGGAGAAGTAAGGGCAGCTTGACTGTTAGTTCCCTGTAATCTTCACACTGGCAAGCATCATGCATGCAAACTTGGGGTGCATCCTCTGGGCTGAGGATGACTTGAAGGTGGAAATGTGATTGCATTCACATCTCACTGTTTCTGTTGCCTGTTGAATTCATCCTGTTTCTGTCTTTGCACCACCCTTTTGCATTCCTAGAAACATCAGCACTGATAAGTAGAAGATGCTGGTGCCAGGGTCCAGCTTGCAGTGAAGTCCCGCCATTAGTGGGCTAGCCACGTTAACCTGGTCACTCAGGTCCATGTCTGTCACTGGCTTTGACCGGTTACTTTTAGAACTGCTCAGCTTTCTGTTGCTCTGTGGGATCATCAGAGGACTCAGCCTTATTGTCTGTTTTTATCCTCTCCTGTGCAAAGGAGGGCAAGTCATGTACACTGTGCTAGGTGCCGGCTCAGGAAAGAGCAGTGATGAATTTGCAGCAACTCATGCCTGCTGATACCTCTGACCTGGTGGGTTTTAGAAAGCCTAGAACTTCATGTCATTGAGGCACGGCACCTAAGGAGTCGTAGGTTTATCTTGGCTTCTCTGGGTCAGAAGGCCAATAAGGAGCTGTTGTCCTTAGGTTGAGCCTACAGAACAAAACCACCTCCATTAGAGGAAAATCGTGACTTCTGTGATTCCTCCCCATCCCCACCTGATTTGTCATCTACTTTGATTTGAAGGTCTGCCTGTATCTGTTGTGCATTGTTGAAAATCTCAACTAGTTCTTTTTCAAATAGTTTTGGAAATCTTGTGCTGAAAAATGGGTCCCCATTCCTTTAGTAGGGGCTATCCCACGAACGAAAGAGTATTTCCTAATGGAAGCTTTTGAGACTCAAAAACAGCAAACCTTCTAATTAGTTTGGAGCCTCAGTAGAAAAAAAAAAAGAGCTCTTCTGATCGCTTCCTAATGGACCAGGCAGTTCTCAAATTAATCAGAGGAGGTTGGGAATTTGGTGAGCAGATAGAAAAGGGATTTGAAAAGGCGGTTCTAGTTCTGCTATTGTCACAAAACATCTTGAGAGGGATTGGGCCTGAATCTTAAGCCTCAGAAAGAGAGGAGGATAAGCTGTGTTTCTCAGGCTTCCCTATGTAGGGTGGCAGGGAAGCTGGTCCTTGGACCTGAACATGCAGACCAGAACCCGCCGTTACCAGAAGCTTTTCCAGCTTGGCGTAGGACCTGCCAGCACAGCTGTCAGGAACCCAGGAACTTCTCTGCACCATGATGAGGCCTTGGAGAACAGCCTTCATGGAGGTTCCTGGCTGAATGCAATACTGCTGCTTGCCATGAGAGGAAGCAGATTTTACATGTTGGCCATCCATCGTTCTCGTCGACCAGGCTCACCTCCCCAAGGACGGTTCCTCGTTTGCTCTGCTGTCACACTGTCCACCAGCCCTCCTTGCTAGTATACCTCTGTACTTGTCAAAGTCCCTGCCTTGTCTTGGCCAGAAGTGGAAACCTCGTAAAGTTTAAGAAGGAGAAGAATTCTTCTGTACATAAGTGGTATGTGTATTGCCGTGTGTGTTGCTTTTTTGTCTATAACTTTAGATTATATATTCCTTGTAAGCAAGGTCAGATGTCTTTTTAGCCTCCACACGGTGCCCACTGTTATGTGGCTGAGGTGCCAATAAGAGACAGCATCTGAAGACTCATGGGCTGCCTTTGCTTTTCAAAGGTCTTGGAGAGCTCCCCTGTGAAGAAAATTCTCTAGTTTTCGGGAATGGAGGAATTTGTGTGCAATACAGAGTTAGGTAGCTTAGCCTTTTGCTCCTAAGAATAGAGCTAGAATACTTTTGGACCTGTTGCAAATATAAGACCTGAACAGTATCTTATTTTGGTTACTGAGAATGCCACCTCTTCAAAGCCAGGAAAAATTAGGAAGTCCTGACTAAATCTCCTGGTAGCATTCTTCTTCCTCATATACTTTTGGGGAATGGGCACTCTGGGATCCTCTTTAGAGAGCTAAAAGTGTCCCTGTGGTGATTAGAGAGTGGAGGTTCCAGGGTCTGCTGCTGCTGCTGCCTCCTGGCACCTCTCCTCAGTCTGTAGGCCTTCATGGTGGGTTTGGAGTAGATAGTGACTGACTGATGCCAACCAAAAGACTCACATCCCCATGGAGAGATGATCCTAGGGAACCTCCTTGAGGTCAAAGTGTGCTGTGCCCCAGTCACTGCCTTACCGTCTTGGTGCATACCATCTACTTGTAGGGTTTAGGTAGGGTCATGTTCAGTCTTCTTTAAGGGAGGAGAAAGTAATGCTGAAATCACTGTAAGCAAGGCAAAGCCCTTTCTGGCAGGACGGAACCTGAAGCCGTTCCATCGAGAAGTGCTCAAAGGATACGGACAAACAGCTTTCAAAAGAAGAGTTGCAGATTATCAATAACTGTGAAAAAAAATGTTCGAAATTACTAATTAGAGAAAAATTCTGAGGTTTCATCTCCTATCTATCAAAGTGGCAAAGATGTTCAAAGAGTGGAATAGTCAATATTGGAAGGGCTACTAGAAGCCGGACGCATACTATGGCATTGGCGGAGGCGTCGATGGGTGCAGCAAGCCTAAAAAACAATATGAAATCGTGTGAAAAATGCTCTCAATCAACAATCCCACTGTTGGGCGTGTACCCCAAGGAAGTCAGTGACAAAGCCCCCATATATACCAAAATATTAATAGCATTTACAGTAGCAAAAAAGCCCTGTAAGCAAAGTGGGTGCCCAGAGGTTAGGGAGTGGCCAATCAAAGTGGTATAGAAATGGAATGCTATTGCCTGAGGAATTCAGAGAACTTGAGAAGACTCATGAACTGAGGCAGACCAGAACAACGAGAATACAATTTAAAAAACAGAACAAAACGCTAAAAACCAACTGAACTCTGATGAATTGAAAAAGCTAAGCCTGTTTCCAAAGCCCAGATGATGAAACATCCATAAAGATGCTGAGGACTCCTGATGTGGCATGCGGTATACACTCTCAGATGCAGTGCTTGTGTTAGAGTTGTGTAATTGTTCTTTTGTGTCATTGTCAGGGTGGGGGGGGTGGCTTACTGTGAAATGACTGGTGTAAAAATAAAAGGCATCAATAAAACATAAAAAATACCAACCCAAAGCTTTGCTTTCTATTTCCTCCTCCAGCATCCGTCTTCCCTCTACTCCAGGTCTCAGTTCAGCTTTAGAGAAGAGAGGGCATTAGTACTGGCCTCAAAGTAGCTCACTTCATTCTCTGAGAATAAGTGCTACCTGCTGATCTGGACACCAGAAATGGGCCATTTCTTTAATCAAGAATATTATAACAAAAGACACAAGCTATCTACCTGCACTTGATTTTGTGCCGGACTCTCTACGGGGTCAGTGAATTGTGTGCTTCTTTCTCTACTCTTGGAGATTTGCCAGCCACCAGGACACAGAAACTAAACAGGGCATCACACTTATACTTGGTTGAGCATTGATAAGTAGTAGGTGGCCTCAGTGGCCTTTGCCCAGCAGGACTTGCCTCGTTAAAAGATGCAGGGCCTTGGGGAGCTGGAAGCACCAGGCGGCCTCCACTCATGGGGGAGGGGGGGGCAGAATCTCTTCAAGATCCCAACTGGGTCTGTTGGAGGTTCTGAGCAATTAAAATGGTAGAAGGCCTGTACTGGAAAGGACTGTGAAATTGAGAGAAGGGCGCTGGGTTTTATGGGGACATCTCATTCCTTGGAATCTGCAGCCCAATGAACTGTTTGTCATCTGCCATTGTTTACCGCCACCAGAGTCTCAGAAATGGATAAGCGATCCAACCCAGAGTCTGATGTCCTTAGAGGCAACTTTTTACCTCAATTTCCTCATCTTTAAAATGGGGATGATAATGGCACCTACCTCACAGGGTTGTTGTGAGGATCAAATGAGATAAGAATTGTAAAGTGCTTGGCACATAGCAAACACTATATAAATATATTTACAAAACAACCTCTAGACCTAGAGTCCCCCCCCCAACTAGTTAGTTCATCTCCAGCCTTCACTTCTGTAGAGCCTGACTTCCAGATTGCATTCCTGATTATGACTCATCATTAGAAATGCATGCTGACTTTTTTTTTTTAAAGAAAATTAAGTTTCTTAATGGCAACTTTTCTGTAACAGCAAAGATGTAAAAGGTAACGTATTTTTCCAGTCTATCATAGCCTGGATTTGCAATCTATGGGAATCTGACAAATAGGATCTCAAGGGCCAAAAAGAGATCAATCATAGGATGTGAAGTAGTGATCCAGTAAGCTGTTGTATGTAAAGTACTTTGAATAATTTAAAACAATGTATAAATTGAGAAGCAAGGTGGTCCAGTAGACAAAGGGCTGGATTTGTAGTCATAAGGGCCCGAATTAAGTCCCTGCTTTGCCACTTATTACCTTGGACAAGTCCCTTAATCTCTTTGGGTCTCAGTTTCCTTATCTGTTAAATGAAGGGATTGAATTAGATGATCTGTAAAGTTTCTTTCAGCTCTAAATCTATAATCCTGTGATCTTCAGGAAGCCCGTGGCAGTAAAATGCCTTTGAAGAAGAGCCAAGGCCATCCAAAATTCCAAGGCTCAGGAGGCAAGATGCAACAGAGGCAACTCTACTCTTTTTGAAATCCTGAGCAGTTTCACCAGCAGCTGTCCTGAGCTTCAAAGGTACTAGAGAATCTATGCTTGCAGGTACTCACATTGGTACTAAGTGTTGGGTGGATTTATCTTCCCCCATCTTAGGATAATGAAGCTGTGGGGCCAAGACCACCATGAGTTAACTCTAGCCTGGGAGGCCTAAATGCTATATATTTCTTGACCTAGATGGCTAGACAGAACCTGAGGCCTCCAGCCCTCCTTCCCTAGCATTTCGTATAACCAGCTGGAGAAGCTGCTGTTCCTGACCCCAAACTGATGCCCTGGTCAGCCATCACAAGACCTTGGGGTTTGAGCACTTCATTCAACTGGTTCTGTATCGGACAAACTTCCACGTCCTCCTTTTATTCCTGTGTTTCCAAGATGCTGTCAACTGCCATGAAAATCTCATCCCCTTGCTAAGTCTCCCCATGCTCTCAGCCTTATCAGCCTGAGCCCTAGCCTTCCTCGGCCTTCATACTCCATCGTGCCTTCTGGAGCCCCCTTTTTTGTAAAAAGAGAACTCCACTTCATTCTTGATCTCTCCATCTCCCGTTTTCCATCTTCTGCCACTGCTGGATCCATGGCTTCTCTGGAAGGGGTTGTTTCCCTTGCTGCACCCTATCGCACAGGACCAGGAGGAGGAGATAGCATATTCCTTGCTCCATACATCTGTCCCCCAACTGGCTCTTTGCTGCTATTACTCAGGAACTTCTTTCTCCTTTATTGAGTATTACTTCATCCATTTCTATCACCTAGTCTAGATCATCATCTGTTGGCCTCTGGGACATCTTTCTCCCTCTTTAGAGGAGTTAAGTACTTGGTTCACAGTCTTTTTCTCCATCTCAATCCCTGCTCTGATGCTTGAGGTGATACTCTCAAAAACCTTGGCTTCTCAATTCATCAGTTTCCTTAAGCCCCATAACCTGCTTCTTCAAATCAACCCCTTGATGATTTAGATTCTAGATCTTACCACCTCCCCATTCCTTCTGAATTTTTTTATTTTTATGTTTTTTTTGCTTTTCAGTGAGGCAGTGGGGGTTAAGTGACTTGCCCAGGGTCATACAGCTAATAAGTATCAAGTGTCTGAGGCCTGATTTGAACTCAGGTCCTCCTGACTCCAAGGCCTGAGTTCTATCCACTGCACCACCTAGCTGCCCCCCTGAAATTCTTTAATTTTAGCCTTCCTACTCTGCTGCTTCATTCCTAACCTTGTCCTTATTCATCTCTCGCTTGTCACAGTCTTAACCAGTTCAACAGTACGCCACCATGTACCTTTGAATCCCTCTGTCTCTCATTCTGTGGTGGCTCGTGTTTTACCAACAGCCACCTCACCATCCTCCTCTGCTCCTACTCACAGAATCCTGAACTCTACTCGGGAAAACCACATGACAGTTTACTTATTTGTGGGTTGGGTTTTGGGGGGGGGTCTTTTTTGGAGGAAGGGGAGTCATTAGGAGGTAACCATGATGTGAAGAAAATCATTGCTGTGCTGCTGCCCCCAGTGCCAGTCAGTGCCCCAAGTAGCTATTCTAAACCTTCTCTTCTAAACTCTCCTCCAGTTCCTTTACAGCACAGTTCTCTCAGCAGAACATCTCACTTGAAAATAAACGCCGTCCATCAAGACCTTCGTCTTCTCCTCCTCTGTACCTCACAGCCTCCCTGTGTCAGTTCTCCATATCTGCTTTTCTTCTCTTTCTTTTATCAGTGCCAACCCTTGTGTTCTTGTCTTCATCACCTTCCCAGAACTTTCCTTTTTGATTATTCTCTTCCACCTCTTATCTTAATTCTCTCCTCATCTATTGGCTCCTTCCCTGCTGCCTATAAATATTTCCAGGTCTCCACCATCCTTAAAAAACTTTCACTCACCCCTGCCATCCCCTCAATCTGCCATCCAATATCTTCTCCCTTTCACTGACAAGTGTCTAAAAGGAGTCACCTAAACTCATTGTCTCCGTTGTTGTTTTCCACTTTCACCTTTCACTTTGCCCATTTGTAATCTGGTGTCCCGCTGAAATTACTTTCACGGTGGTTTCAGTGATCACGTAGCTGTTAAATCCATCAGCTTTCTCTCATTCCTCATTCTCCTTGACCTCTCTGCAGAGTTACTTTTGACCAAACACCCTTTCTACCTGGATTCTCTTTTTCTCTCTTGGCTTTTGTGACACTACTCAGAAGATGTGTACCCTTTGCATCTTCTGTCTTCTATCCACCTAGCATAATGTCCCCCAAGGCCCTGTCCTGGGCCCTTTTCTCTCTACTGTCTCTCACTCCCCTTAGTGGTCTCATCAGTTATATGGGTTCAGTTGTCTCTCTGAAGTTGGCTCCCAAATCTGCGTCTCCATCCCCAGCCTTGATCCAGAACAGCAGTCCCACAGCACCACCTCCCTGCTGGTGAGCTCCAACTGAATGTCCCATTGGGTAGCTCAGACTCATCAGGGCCAAAATTCAATTCATTAGTTTCTCCCCTAATTCTACCCCTTCTTTAACATTCTTGTCACCCAGATTCCCAGCTTATTTGTCGTCCTTGACTCCCCTCACTGCTTTCCATTTGCAACCAGTTACCATGTCTTAATAGGTTTTCCACAGATCTGTTCTGTGTATTTATATTCAACAAACAAAAGGAATTATTAGGGACATACACAGTAAGTTATGCTTGAATATATTCAAATTCAACATTCCTCTACAAGGGAAAACTATAAAAGAAAAAGGGAAAGAGATTGGAAGAAATATTTATTGTAGATATAAATGATAAAAACTTGACATCCAAAGTATAGAAAGAACTATTAAAAATTCATAAAGGTAGTTACCTAGTCTACAGTGGAGAAATTGTCAAAGGATACAAATGGGGGCAGCTAGGTGGTGTGATGGATAGAGTAATGACCCTGGAGTCAGGAGGACCTGAGTTCAAATCTGGCCTCAGCTGTGTGACCCTTGGCAAGTCACTTAACCCCAATTGCCTTGCCCCCCCCCCAAAAGAGATACAAATAGATAATTTTCAAAAGAAGATATAGAAATTGTTAATAATTGCTTGAAGAAAAATTCATTCTTTCGAATCAAAGCACTACAAATTAAAACAGCATTGAGGATACCACCTCATACCCGTCAGATGAGGTGATAGGTGTAAAGCTCTGTGCAAGCCCCAAAGCACTACATAAATGCCAGCTATTGGCAAAAATGACACTAAATGATAAAAACCAGCTTTTTTCCCTGTTATGCTCATAAAGGCAGGTTTACCTAATGGGATTTTTTATGCTGATTGCAAATATGGGTTCAAGTTTTGTCTGTCAGCTACTATTTTGACAGGAATCATTTTATAAATTTAATTTTTTTCCTAAACAAAAGTGGGGTTATTCAACTCATCTCAAAATGCAACTCCTGATGATTGCCTATTCTGTTTCACCTGCGTAACATCCCTCTTCAGCTTCAGCTCACACAGCCCGGATGCTTGGTCTCCACCCACCCTACCCTTGCTTTTCCATTCTGGAGATACCTAGATGGAAGCATTCCCCGGGTTCATCACTTATAGCACTTAGTTTTTTGGGAAAGATTCCAAATGTTCATTTAAAAAATGGGCCTGGAGTAGTAATATGTTATAGCCCATAAATCGATACTTTCTAGGCTTTGAGAAGATCATTGACTTTTGGGGGTTATTTTCTGCTTGTAGTTTCCCCCAAAAGTGCTTGGTCATTAGTTATCTCCATGCAGCCCCTTCAACTTCATTTAACTGTTTTTCAGAATGGTTATCTTTGACCATTTCCCTTATTTGAGAACCCATAAATAGCCCTTCTTTGATTTCAGGTTCATTGACTGTTGGAAATTTATTTTTCAGGTGAAGAAAACCTGCATTTTTTTCAGTCCGTCGTCTTCACAAAATTTTTCATTAAACCAAGTTTATAATGTGCAGCGGTGGTAAGAAAACTTTTCTTCTTCAAATTGTTGGCTTGCCATATGATTTTTTCCTTGAAATTCTTTCCTTTGAGGCCAGTGTTTAATGTTTTCCTTTGACTGTTCTTTCCTGTTTACAGATAAAGCAGTTGTAGTTGTTGTAACCAAGTTGCAATCCCAGTAAAAGAGCAATTTCTTTGAGATTCCCATGTATTTGCCAAGGACGTTTTTCATACCGAATGTGGTTCGAGAAGTTTTTGTGTTTCAAATACATTCTGTTCCCTGTTACATGAGATTCCTTCCTTTGAGTCTCAATACTAAAAGTTCAGCTTGATTTTTGGCTAGGCCAAGATTATAAACAAGGTCATTTAGGTCTGCTTGAGTCATGAAGTAAAGATCTGAGGTTGAAAAGGTTTCCTCAAATGGTGGATCATCACCTTGCTGGGCTTCTTTATGGTCAAACGGCTGTCCAGTCTGAATTATCCATCAGGTTCATCGTTTTTATTCAAATTCCAGGTTTCTGGTGGGTTTGGGTAGTTTCTTTATTGGCTCTTATAACTGATGACAGATTTGAATGTTGCACTATACCTGTAGACCTGGAGGTAATTCCTGATATATTTCTTCAGGAAAAATAGCGATGTGGCAAATGAGTTTTTTTTTTAATCTTCTCAAATCATCAGGACCAAAAAGGCCCAGTCAGGAGAATAACACAAGTGGGAGTGGGGAATAGCATTCACGTGCTTTCTTACTTACCTGGAGGAACAAAGTTCACCTTGACCTAAGAACAATTTGGATGACTGACAGAAAGGGCAAACTGAGAATTTAGGTAATGCACTAAGTATAAAATGTTTGGAAAAAAAGGAGTAGAAACAATAATGATATTTACCCAATGATAGGTACATAAATGATAGTATAGTCTGCTATGTATGGAGAGTTTCGTGGCATGACTGAATATGTTGGAACGTTCCCCCGCCCCCCACCAAGTCTGTCCCAACATTTTTAGCATGCAAACAAGGACTTGACACACACTGCAGAAAAATCCAACTGGTGATGTCTCAGTACCCTCTCCTCCTCCACCAAACCGTACTTGATTAACTTGATCTCATATTAGGTAATTTAGAGGTCATAGGGAGCCGCTGAAGCTTGTTGATTGCAGGGAGGGACACAGTCAGATGTGTACTTTAGGAAGATCACTTTGACAGCTCAGTGGAAGATGGACTGGAGTGGGGAGAGACTTGAAGCAGGCAGGACCCCCCCCCCCCCCCCACAGCAGCTATTGTAGTTGTCCAGGAGTGAGGTGATGAGGCCTGCTCCAGGATGGGGGCAGAGTCAGAGGAGAGAAAGGGGCGGAGATGAGATGCTAGGAGAGTAGAATCGACAGAACTTGGCAACAGATTGCCTCTAAGGAGTGAAGAATGACACTGAGGTTGTCACTGCATAACTGGGGAGATGACAATGCCCATGAGAATAATGGGAAAGTTAGGAAGGGGGAACATTTGGAGGGAAAGACAATGAGTTCCATTTTGGACACATTGAGTTTAAGACATCTACAGGACATCCAGTTTGAGATGTCTAATGGGCAGTTAGATGCGAGTCTGGAGGTTAGGGAGGGGTAACAGGTCTGAGACTCATCACTACAGAGATGATGATTGAATCCTCGGAGCTTATGAGATCACCAAGTGAAATAGTATAGGAGGAGGAGAGGAGAGGGCCCAGGACAGAACCCTGGGGGACCCCGCCGGTTAGCAAGGTTGATGTGGATAAAGATCCAGCAAAGGAGGCTGAGAAGCAGCAGTCAGACAGGTAGGAGAACCAGGATGGAATATCATGGAAACCTAGAGGGAAGATGGTATCAAAGAGAAGAGAATGATCAACAATGGCAGAGGCTGGAGAGAGGTCAGAAAGGATGAAGACTGGAAAAGGCCATTAGACTTGGCGGTTAAAGAGAGTGCTGGTAACTGGAGGGAGCAGTTGCAGTTGAATGATGAGGTCAGAGACCACACTGCCGAGCATTAAGAGCATGAGAGGAGAGGAAGTGGAGGCACCCATTGGGCGTGCAGGAGGAGACTCGAGCATGTTTGTAGGCGATAGAGAAGCAACTAGTAGATAAGGAGATATTGAAGAGGAGGAAGAGAGTGGGGATGATAGCAGGGCAGTCTGCTGGAGAAGAGAGGATGCGATGGGATCGCTTGTGCGTGCAGAGGGGTTTGCTTCGGCAAGGAGAAGGGCTGTCCAGACACAGCTAGGTGGCCCAGTAGATAGAGCGCTGGGCCTAGGGTCAGGGAGATCTGAGTTCAAATCCAGCCTCAGATACTTACCAGCTATGTGGCCCCAGGCATGTCACTTAACTTCTGTCCGCCTTAGTTTCCTCAACTGTAAAATGGGGATAATAGCACCTGCTGCCAACAGTTGTGAGAATTACACGAACTAATATTTGTAGAATGCGCTTAGCACGATGTGTGGCATATAGTAAGTCCTTAATAAATGTTTATTCCCCATCTCTTCCTGTGAGACAGGGTGAAGAAGGAGATAGTGGCAGAAGGCATCTGGGTGATGTGAGATGAGCGAGGAGGCCAATGGCCTCAATTTTTCAGCTTAATTTGCTTGCCCCAGTATTCTATATTATTTATAAAAACCATTTTGAAAGTGTTAGGAGGTGAACTATGTGGGAGGAGGTTAAATGAGCTTTTGGCTTCAGGTTGAGAGGGAGAGAGGTGGGGCTTCTGCAGGATATTTTGGGACCCTAGCCTAGTGGGCATAGGGGGAAGGTATGCTTCTGTGGGCCAGGGTGCTGATGAGGCAGAGCTTAGAGGATGCATTGGCAGGAAGGAAGGGATGCCAGTGGCAGGTTTGGTTTCTGCTTCTGGGGTGGGTAGGTAGGGCCCTCTGGAAGGCACCGGGGTGAGAAAGAAAAACTCTTCCTCCCATAGAACAAGGGAAAAGAAAGCCTGCAGGTGAGATCACATTTGTAAACACTTAGCACAGTCCCTGGCACACAGTAGGTGATTTATAAATGACTTCCCAGCCCCAACCCCCTCCATGGGCTGGCTTCTAATAGCCTTATCTCACATCACTCTCCTTGCCCTCTGCATTTGAGCCAAACTGGACTAGTCACTGTTTCCCAACTCAGCAATGAATTCATTCCCTATCATCTTCACTTGATTTTGACAGGCAGCGTGCTGTAGCGGACAGGGTATTGGTCTTAGACTTAGGAAGACCCGGGTTCAAATCCCACCTTATATACTTACTGCCTGTGTAAGTGTGACACTTAATATCTCTGGGACTCAGTTTCCTCATCTATCAAGTGAGGAGGGTTGGATTTGGTGGCCTTGAAGATCCCTTCCAGCTCTAAATCTGTCATCTCTGATGCTGGGACTCCATCTTCCCTGTCTGTGGCCAGGCCTGGAATGCACCCCATCCTCCCATCTCCCGTTTCCCAGTGGCTTTCTTGCAGACTTAGCTCAGCTGCCATTTCCTACAGGAAGCCATTCCTGATTCTTACTTTTCCCAACATTCCCCCCCCCACCACCACCAAGCTGTTCGTTCTTTCTCTTTCTTCAAATAAGCTTCTAGTTGCCGTGTCCAAGTTGTCCTCCCTCTCTTCCAGTGCTATGTAAGCTTTCTGTGGGCAGGGACTGTTTTGGTTTTGATAGCTCCAGCACAGTGCCTTGCCCACCGTAGGTAGGCATTTAATAAATGTGGGACTGAATGTGTTCAAATAAGATGCCTCCCATGAAAAGTGCTCCGTAAACTTCAGTTGTTATGCTACTCCAGCTCCCCTATCATCTGCCTGCTGTGCCTGCCTGAGGACGCTGGGCCCAGAGGCACTGCCCTCTGCTGGTAATCCTTAAGGTGTCGATAGGGTGAGGATTGTGGAGGCAGGGAGGGGCAAATACCGGAAGCCTCTCTTCTCCAGGAAAAAAAAGATGTGTGCATGACATACTTAGGTTAAATCTGCATTCTGAACATTTTCTCCATCACTTTCTTAAGTCTAGATAATCAACAAAACAATAGATTGAGCCCTGATTTGTAGCCTTTGTCAATTTCCAAGGTGTAAATGCTCACACTGAAATTTTAATGATAGGCTCTTGAGGGCCAGTCAGAGCTGGCTCTTGCCCTCCCCTGGCCTTAGAGGCAGGTAGCAGCTTTGGGTGACCTTCCTCCTCCTTATCTGGCCTAGGCTGACGATCTGTGTTCCCATGACCAGTCTGTGTGGGCTGTGAATCGCTATCAATCAGCAAAGACATGAAGCGCCTGTGTGCCAGGCACAGAGATAGAAAGGCAGACGGGATAGTCCTTCCCAAGGAGTTTCTGTTCTAATGGGGGAGAGCTGGCTGGATATATAAGCTTTAGTGCTGCACTGAGACTTTTGAAACACACTGTGTTGTGTAAGTACATGTCTGGGTACGTGTAGGTACACATGGGTGTGTGTGTGTGGATATGTGTATACGCAATAAATTCAGAGTGAACACAGGGTAGGGAAGGAGGGGATCCAGAAAGGCTTCATGTAGACGATAACACTTGAGCCAGGCCCTCGAGGACGGGAGGGATGCTGTGAGGCCGAGGGGAGGAGGGAGTGCGTTCCAGGCATGCTGTACACCATTCGTGAAGAAAACGAGCACCTGCTGCCACAGAAGTTGCGTGAAGAGCCATTTGGGGGCTACTGTCCAGGCCCACGGATTTGTGTGTGCATTTTTAATATTCTGAAAATTTCAATTTAACTCACTTCCTTGGTAATAGATAGTATTTTATGTTATGTGTTTAAAAAATATGATTCTGAGAAGGGGTCCATAGGCCTCACTACATTGCCACTTCCAAATTAAGGTGAAAACCCTTTGCTCTAGGCCAAGCTGAACAGGGCTGACACTCCAGGAGCACTCTTGGGCCCTGAGCTGAAGTTAAAGCTACAGGGTTGTTACCAGAACCTCTTTGATTCCTTCCCCAAATCAAGATCAGTAGGATAAGGTTGTAACTGGGGTGGGGCCAGAGCTCTGTCCTAGGGTGCTGAAATTAAGGGTGTACTAAGCTCTCACAGTCCTTAAGAAGATAAAAGTATCTGAGTTTAGCAAGAAGGATTTTTTTAAAATGGGAAATTTCCAGATGGTGGCTCTCCCCCCAGCACCATAGGTGAGTCCCACCCCCCTTCTGGCAACGACTACCCCAGAAGCAGCCTCCCAGTGTCCTCCGGCTCTACTCCACAAAGGCCTTATGTCTCGAGATCCAAGTTCTGTCTTCACCCCCTCAAATATCTTAAGTTGAGAAAAATGTCTTAAGCTTGAGGTTTGAAAGCTGGAAGCAATAAAAATGAAAATGTTAGTGAAGATAAATAAGCAAGGGATTTATGGAAAGGTGGAGAAAAGGAATACAGAAATTGGCAATTTGATAGAGGAGAGGGGAGACTGGAGAGAGAAGAATTAGTGGTCAGAGGCAGAAGAAAACCTGGGCCTCAAGGCTCACTTCGGTTTGATGGTGGAGGTTTTGCTAATCTCCTTGGGCCTGGGGCCCTCAATGCAATGGGGTCCGAGGAGGAGCCTTAAAAGAACCTGGTGGCGCTTCTCTGCCCCCTTGGAAAGGAGGAGTACATGGGAATGAGGCTGTGGGCATAAAGGAGAGTCATGAGTTAAGAGCCGAAGCATACAAATACAAATTTATTCTTTCCAAAGCAGAATTAGAGAGAAGAGGAAACAGCACCACGGTGAGTGGTAACCAAAGCAAGCCAATTTGCCCCCAGTCCCAACTCTTCAGGAACCCCCCCCCCCCCTTCATCAGCCCTTGCCCTCCTGGCAGCCTGAGCTAGGGATGGCAGGGCAGAGGAACTTGGCCAATCCCCTCCTCTGGGGAATGGCTCCTGGCCCTGCCACGGCCACTCTGTGTTGTTATGGGGTCGGGGTCGGGCATGGGGTTGGCCCAGGGACAGAGCAGCCAGCCCGAGGAAGGCGGGCTCCTTGATCCCAGGTCAGGACCCCACATGCCCTTTTAAGATTCTGAAATCTTAAGGTTCTTGTTTGGCCCCTGCCATTTGTGAAAGGTGCTGACTGCCTGTTTCACACTGCCCTGGTCCTCTGAGCCCTGCCCTCTGCCTGACGAGTACCCCTTCAGGGGAAGGGGGATGTGATGCCAGCTCTTGGTCTGAGTCAGGTAAAAATAGAGGCGGGCAGAGCCTGTCCAGGTCCCTGCCTGGTGGAGCTGCTTCTCCACTGGTCGTCCCCAAACCCATTGCAGCAAACCCTCCGTCAGTCCTAACTTACCACCGGCCACCTCAGGCCACTCGTGCCCCCTGTAGCTACACGAAGCCCACAAATGAGAAGACCCTCTCTAGGCTGCTAGCAACACCCCCTCCCAACCACTCGTATACGTGACAAGAAATTCAACAGCATCAAACCCAATACACGATAGATGCACGTTTCAAGGATTCCCAGGACTCGTTTACCCCCAACACACCTGTCTCAGGTATGACCACAGAGGCTTAGTGATCCCCCATTAAGGAAAGTTCCACTCTGAGCTTCACCCCCACCTCCCACTGTAGTCCACACATCTGCCATAGCCAGGCCCCCATCCCCGCCTGCCAGCCTGGCTCACTCACTGTTGGAGGCAGGTGGCCGAGATCGATCTTGGGCCTGGGGTATTCTTCCAGGGTGTTCCTGGTGAAAAACTACTCTGGGACAACTGCTCGGGAGAGCATAGCTATCCTAACGACAAGCCAGTTCTCCATTTCCATCCAAGAGCTCCTCCTCAGGCCCCCAGGAAGCCCCTCAGCTCGCCCTGTCTGATCTCCCTGGCACTGTGCTCTGGCACCTTTCTACCATTCTCGCCCTGTTTGTGGCCAGTGCCAAGCCTCCCTGGCTTTGTGGTGTGACCTGGTGCCAGGAGGCCCAAGGCCCGGGCATTTGATGGCACCAAACGATTCTGATGGTGGCCACTGGGCCTCCCACACCCAGCTTGCTACCCCGTCTTCACTGCGGCAGACGCAGAGAGATTCTCTTCCTCTCCTAGCCACCAAACCTGTCTTACGGCCACCCAAAGAAGTGGGCCTCTGCTTCCTTTGGGAGGCCAAGCAAGGCCTTGCAAAGAGAAGGGGCTGAAGGATAAGCTATGTTGCCTTGCCTAGGAATTGGGAGGGGACAGGGAAGAACAGAAACAGAATTCATGGTCACTGTAGCTGAGACCTTCAGTTCCCTCTCTGATACACTAGTGGATCCGGGACAGGACAGAGCTTTGATTTGGTCTAACCTAGGCCCTGGAACCAGCCCCTGGGGGTGACCAAGGGAGCCTGGGTCCCAGAGTGGCCTACAGTAAACCTGGAGAGAGTCCCCTGAGGGCACAGCTCAGGATGTAGCCATCTGGGCACTTCTCCCCATCCAGCCAAAGGCTGGGCCTGACAAAGAGCAAGGCAGAACATGAGTACTTCACGAGGTATTAGAATTTAATGTGCAAGTGAGGTCATGAGAATACTGATGCACAAAACGGTGAAATATGGATCTAACTATACTAGAGAGAGACTTAGCCAGATGGAGTGGATTCCAGGGCTCTGTTATAAAGCTCCTTCCAGTATAAGGCTGTTGAAGGCAGCTCTGGCTTGGGTCAGAGGCCCAGAGCCCCAGAGCCCCAGAGCCCCTGCCTACTCAGACGTGCCTCTGGGGCCAGGGCCCACGCATCTGGGTGGCTGCCTGCCTCACCTGGGAGGGGGGAGGAGGGAAGGAGCCCCAGGGAGGCACTGGGCCCAGGCATGGCCCTGAGAACATTGCTATGGCGTCCCTGAAACTGCTTCTTCCTCCAAAAGCCTTTAGAGGCCAGGCTGTCAGGCCGGCACGGGGGGCACCTTTACAACTATTGCCCTAAGGAGGTGGCAGGGACAAAGCCTTTTTGGAGACCTGGCCTGCTGCTGCTACCCCTGATCCCACAGGAGAAACCACTGGGCAAATCTCCAGGACCTGTGGGGGCCAGAGGAAAGCAAGCAGCCGCCCTTCAGCTAGGTTTCCCAGGGCATCGCTGGCCAATTGCCCAGGAGGCTGAGGCCTTGAGGAAATAGAAGGGGGGAGGGAACCTACATTAGTGTTGCTTCCATTTTCCCAAATGTGGCCCAAATGTTAGGTGGTGTTAGGAGCCAGCAAAAATCAAGGCTCCTTTCCAAAGGCGGAAAGAGCCCCCGGTTTTAGAGAATGCCCAGAAGAAGCATGTGGCCACCAGTGTGGCACTGAGGGTTAGTGGAACAAGGAAGACTAGTCTGAAAGCCTGACTAGGGCACCATCCTGCCAAGTGAGGAGAGGCCGAGTTAGGGGGCAGGAGGGCTGGAGCACAGGGAGGAAGGCGTTCCAGGCAGCAAACCATCCATGCTGAGTAGCACTCTGCACCAGACTCTCTGGGGAGGGGGTGGGATTGTGCCCACATGGATCTGGAGCTGGGCCACAGGGCAAGATCCCCAGGCAGGTGCCGGGCCGCCCGTCTCCTGTGGTCTAAAGAGAAGGCAGGAACAGAACAGGCCCTTCTCATAGCCCTAAGGTACCTAGCTGCCCCCGATCCCCGCTTTACTGGGATGTGGCAGCAGTGTGTGGAGAGGAAGCAGGCTGCTGGCCTGAGGATCAGAAGGTCCCTGTGCTGGCTCCCCGTCTTCCCCCCTCCCCCATCTGGCTTCTCCCACCTCAAGTCCCTGCTGCTGCCTGAAGCCTACTAAGCCAGTGGGGGATGAGGGAATGAGACGGGCCAGTGGCGACGGGATGGGCCTGGCTGGGGCAGGGACGAGGGATCTGGCCAGAGCCAGAACAGGGATCCAGAGTAGGGGGTGAACGTTTGGACGCATCAGGAAGCCAGTAGAGTGCTGGCGGGCACATCTGGGCTTCGGACGTTAGGGAAGGCATGGCGGAGCTTCTCCATGATGTCCTCTAAGCACAGGCTGACATCCTGGCTTTTCTGCCCCACGTCATCTAGGGTGGAGAGGGGAAGCACGGAAGGGTGCCTTTCAGCCCGCTCACCCACCAGGCACCAGAAAATGGATGGAGGCTTCTCGACCCGAGCCCCGCAGGAAGGACGCCTGGAGAGGAAAGGGAAGCTCACCTGCGGCCTCAGTGTCTGGGGTGGCGTGCTCCTTCTCCCGGGCATGACTGCCCTCTGACTGCTGTGGGGAAGAGGCCAGGGAGGAGTCCCCAGAGCCATTGCCTTCCGATTCAGGGGCTGGCTACAAAGAGGGAAGAAGAATGACACCCCCCAGGGCTTGGTTTAGGGCTGCCGTCACTAGCTGGCAATTTCACCTTTTTTCTTAACATCTTAGAAGAAAATTCTGCATTATACATTATGCCATGAATGGTGTACTCAGCGGCAGCCATTCATTCGAACAGCACTAATGAAGCCCCGCTATGTGCCAGACACTGGGTCTGATGCTGGAAATGGAAAGGCAAGAGGAAAACAGTCCCTGCCCTCAAGGAGCTTACGATCTCCTGCATTATTTCGGGCCTCTTTTTGGCACCTCCCCCAGTCGGATGCTTTCTACGCCTCCATGCCAGCCAATTTCTGGAGAAGACCAAAAGCTGTTCAGTCTCACAGGGCAGGGTACAGGAGACGTGGACATGAGCAAAAGCCTTTGAAGGGCACCCACATTTCCAAGCCCTAGCCCACGGCCTGTGGCTTTTGGGCAGTTTGTGTCCCAATTTTTAACTGACGACACACGTATTCACCCGATCTCCTAAGCAGTTTTCACTGGGCAAAGGGGCCTCCGTGCCAGATCAGACCACATGGCACATCAGGAGGGGCAGTCGGGTCGCAGGGGCCCTGTTCAGGCTGAGGCCACTCCAGCTAGAATGGCACCGGGGGCTGCTGCCTCGCAGGAATTCTCTGCCACTGGGCCTGAGCCCCCTCACCTGCAGCAGCAGCTCCCTTAGGCGCAGCAGCTGGGACTCCAGCTGCCTGTTGTGGTCCTCCAGAATCTGCATGCGGGTCTCCAGTCGGCTCTTGTGCTGCCGAAGGAGCCTGGCTTCGGCCAAGAGCTCCTCATTGCGGGAGTCCTGGGCCACATCAGGGGGGCCCTCAGCAGCTTCCTCATGCTGCCACTTAAGGCGTCGTAGCTCCCCTTGGAGAATCCTGCCAGAGACATGGGGGGGCCTTGGCCGAGGTGCCAGGTGGCACCTGGGCCCTGTGCCAGCTGCCCAGGCCAGGCTGGGAGGCCTGCCATGGAGAGGAGCTTGCGTCAGGCTTGTCCAAGGTGCAGGCCCCCCCCCACCCCCTGCTTCTTGCCGACCATATTTGTACATCTAGAACACACAGCAATCCTCACCCTTCCCCCAACCTCAGTGGGATGAGAGCCCACATTTTACAGGACAGATGCCTCCCAACTTTCCGGCACTTCTTTTAGACCATAAACACTATGCATAGAAATGCAGCCCGTTTGCAAACCCTTAAGCCATTTGGAGGGTGATTTTAGCCCTTCTCCCCACCCTCATCCATCCTCCAGGAGCCTGAACCTCAGTGCTCAGTCAGCAGGGAAAGGGAGACTCCCATTGGCAGAGCTGTCTAGCTGGCACACACATTATCTGTTAGTCACAGTGGAGGGCCTAGCTTTGGACCTGCTCCCGTCCCGGCTCCAGTTCCAGTAATCTCCATGTTGGCATATACAGCCTGATTCCTATCTTCTTCCTAATTCTATTTCCAGATCACCCATACTGACATCCTCTCGTAAAGCCTAGTCTCCAGGGGAAGCAGTGTAGGTCTCACTGCTGCTCCTCAGTCCACATCCAGGCCCTCTTGGCAGCCTGTCACAACCCCAAGTGCACACCCACCGGTTCTCATCCTCCAGGTGAGCCAGGATCTTCTCCAGCTCCCCCTTGTCATCGGCAACCATGGTGTTCTGTGCTTGTTGCCCAAAGGTAGGCTCCCGGTCTGTGATGGGGCTTGAGTGTCTCAGCAGGTACTGATCTTCATCTCTGCCATGGGACAGGGGAGAGGGGAAAGGGAAGAGGCGGATATCATCTACTAGGCACAGAAACCCCTGGCGGAGGCCTCCAGGCTTTCAGCTCTCCTAAGGGGCTCGTGGGAACCATTACTATAGTCACATAGAGAGGAGGGTCATGTTTTATCCAGGCTTTGCCAGGAGAAGAGGGCGTGGGTGGGTGTAGGAATCCACTGCATGAGAATATTCCTTCCCTCCTCCAGAAATGGGCCTGGAAGAACAGAAGCCTAGAGCAGGAGGCCACTGGGACTGAAAGCAAGAAGTGGGGGGGGGGGGGGAGTAGGGAAGAAGGGGGAATAACAGGGAAATACTCCTGACCTCAGCTATAGGCAGGCCTCCATCTTGCCATGCCTAGTGACACCTACTTTCCTTACCTGACATCATACTTAAAAGGGGGGCCTTTCCCACCCCCATCCCCCAAATTCCCTGGGCCAAGGCCTGCTTCTCCCAAATGTGAAGGCAGGAAGTCCCTAGGAAATGCTGTGAGGGTTCCGTAGGGACTTACATGCTGTCATCAGGAGACAGACTATCATTAAAGAAGGAGCAGTTCTGACTTTCCATCTCAGCGAGCCTGGGGACAAAGAAACAGAAACAGAAGTAAGGCATGTGAGGGGGCTGGCCTTCTCCCAAGAGCCCAGCTTTCATGCTTCCTGGAGCTAGGATTCCATGCTTTCCCTGGCCAGTTGGTCTTACTTCACCTGGGGATGAGGCCTAGCATTTTCTCACTAGGCCTCACTCCATCATTCTGGACAAAGCTCTCCTGAGTCACGGGATGAGCCAGGGAACGGGCCTGTGTGAGGCCTTGTCTGGCTAGATCACCCTTCCTAGTTTCCTTCTGAGTTTCCCCTCGTTGCCCTCCCCCACCCGGGGCTGGTGGTGCCCACTCTGGTACCTGCTGGCAAAGTGTTCGATGCGGGAATGTGTATCGGAGTGTGGTAACATCGGGGAGGAGGCAGGCCTGGGAGAAGGCAGCCAGAGGTTAGCACCTGGATGCTTCTGACTTTATCCCAGCCCCCTGTCCCCAAACCGCTTCCTTCCCATGGCCAAGGCACAGTCCTAGTACCCTCCCAGAATGCTCCCTGATTTAGCACAGTGGGGTCCACTGTCCCCGGGGGCCAGGAAAGCCCCCAGGGCTCAGGAAGCAGGGACTCACAGCTCACTGTAGTCAGCCTCCAATACAGACTGCACGGGCAGGTATCCTCTTTGAGGGTGTTTGCTGAAATACTGCTTGGACCGGAATTTGTTTTTCAGTGTTGTAGCAAAATCCCTCACGTTCTCACTCGAAGTTGTCTGGAGAGAGACAGAGCTGAAGGCTCACCTACCGCCACCGCCAGTGCCTTGGAGCAGCCAGTAAGGGACCAAGGGCTGGCTTATGGAGAGCATTCAGTAGCCCAAAGCCACACATACGTGTAGGGATCAAGCCAAGTTTTCCAAAACTCCAACATGTCTCTCTGGGGCTGAGTGATCAAAATAGAATTTAACTGTGCATTTACCTAGACTCCACGTTGCAGTGCCTGGGAGGAGGGCAAGGCAAAGAGAGAAAGGTCCAAAGAGCACGAGAATTCCAGGCTAGGAAACTGGTAGCTCCACAATGCTAATACTCTGAGGAGGGGTTGAAGGAGACAGAGACTGACCCTGTGGGGAAGACACAACTCCCAACTCTTATATTACCTCTGTTTTCAGTGCCAAAAAGAATGCTCTTTGGAATGGAAAGGGCAGAACCAAAATGGCTAACGAGGAGTTCATCCCAAGGTAAGGAAGAAGAGTGAGAAAGAAACTGGCTGCCCTCAGTGATTTCAAACCACCTGCCCAAGTGAGCTGTCACTGGCTCCTGGAACTGTTGGAAGAGCAACAGCAGCAGCAGCTCTTTTTGAAGGATCATGGGAAAAGGGGAGAGAGACAGACGTACCACAAGCCTGAAGAAGGAGGGCACAGGTTGTCTTGATTTTTCCAAAAGGGAAGAGAATGGAATCTGCCAACTTTAGGCCAGGGAGCTTGCTAGGAAACTTCTAGAATGGACCATGGCAGAGGTGGTTAGTGAGCATCTAGAAAAGGAAGTGGTGATTGCCAAGTGCACTGGCCTTACAGCCTTCCATGACAGGGCACCTAAACTATTAGACGAGAGGGAATGTCGTAGATAGAGTCTGGGTAGATTTTTGGAGGGCTTTTGATAAAGAGCACCGTGCTATTCCCGTAGAGAAGAGGGAAAGATATGGACTAGATGACAATACAGTAGGTTGGGTTCAGAACTGGTTGGATGGCTGCACTCAAAGCGTAATCATAAATGGTTTGATGTCATGTTGGCAGGAGGTCTCCAGTGGAGGACCCCAGGGATCTGTGTTTGGCCTATGATGTTTAACATTTTCTGTCAATGACTTGGATAAAAGCATGGATTGTATGTTCATCAGACTCACAGACAGCACTGAGCGAGGTGGGATAGCAAACACATCAGATGACAGCCAGGGGGCAGCTAGGTGGCGCAGTGGATAGAGCACTGGCCCTGAAGTCAGGAGGACCTGAGTTCAAATCCGGTCTCAGACCAGACACTTGACACTTACTAGCTGTGTGACCCTGGACAAGTCACTTAACCCCAATTGCCTCATGAAAAAAAAAAAAGAAAGGATGACAGACTCCTAAATGATCTGGACAGCTTAGAGAATCTTTTCTGTTTTTGTTATTCAGTTGTTTTTCAGTCCCGTCTGACTCTTCCTTACCCCACTTGGGGTTTTCTTGGCAAAGACACTGGAGTGGTTTGCCATTTTCTTCTCCAGCTCATTTTTTTAATAGATGAAGAAACTGAGGTGAGCAGGATGAAGTGACTCGCCCAGGGTCACGCAGCTAGGAAGTATCTGAAGTCAGATTTGAACTCCCCAAGCTGAGTCTTCCTAGTCTGGTGCTCTATGCACTATGGTACCACCTGGCTGCCCTATAGAGAGTGCAGGTTGAATGTAATAAAATAAAAGTCAATAAGGATGAATGGAAATTCTTGCACTTGAGCTAAAAAAAGATCCCCAAGTCCAGGATGGGAGTGGCAGGGCTAGACAGCAGCTTGTGTGAAAAGGATCTGAGGATTCGAAGCTGCCAGGAGCGAGGCCCTGCCTGAGCACGCCAGCTTTGCAAAGGACACTGAAGGGGGGGCCAGAGGATGGGGAAGGGGCTCGAGTGCACAGAGGAGGGAGAGACCATCAGCCTCGCTCTTGCTGTTTGACCCCAAAGGGCAGAACGAGGAGAAGCCACAGGGGAAAGTGGCAAAGAGGCAGATTTTGATTCCATGTCAGGAGAAATTTCTTAGCAATGAGAGCTGTCCCGGGGTGCAGGGGGCTGCCTCGGGAAGAAGGAGTCTTCAAGTAGAGCTGGGATGACCACTTGTCCAGGATGTTGGGGGGAGGGGCAATTCTTTTTCAGATAAGGGGACTGAGGTCCTCCTTTCAACTCATAAATTCTGCAGTTCAGAGAATCCATAGGAGAAGAAAGGCATGAAGAAACCCGAAGAGAAAGGGGAGCTCTGTGCACGCGTGTGTGCGTGTGTGCATGAGCATGAGTCAGAGTGTGGGGAGAAGCGACTGGATGCCCAGAATAGAGAGAGAAGCTCATTTAAATTCTGTAGCCAGGGACCAGAGGCAGTGCCAAGTTTGGGGGATGAGGAGTTTCAGCCTGAAACCAAAACCAAATGGGCCCTGGGGCCCACACAGCCAGTGTGGCTATGAAAGGAACCGACGGTCAAAGAGGGCGAGCCTAAAAGGGACTGAGCCAAGCTGAAGCGGACCTGAAAGTGGACCTGGATGTAGCTGGCACCCAAGTATCTCTCAAACTAGCGTTAAATGCCCTTCATGCCCTCATGGTCAATTCTACCACGGCTCACTGTGCTGGGTACTAGGGTGAAGGGCCAAAGGGGAAGAGCTGGGCTCTCTGCAGGGGCTCTCCCCTTGTGATGGCACAGTTAGCTACCCAACAGCCCCAGGGCCTCCCCCCTTACCGGTGTGTAATATTCCATGATGGGGTAATGGAGCTTGTTTCCTTTACTGGCCCTGCCCGTTAGGAAGCAGGTCTGGCAGATGTCCACGTTGAACTGCTTAAGACTCCGGTACCTTGGGGAAGAGGAGGATGACAAGAAGGGTCTAATGAACCCAGGCCTGCTCCCTTGGGAGGAATGCCAGGAGAAGTACATTGAGACCCACCTGGCCTGCTTCCCAAAGCCTTCAATTCAACAAGGGTTTACTAAATGCCTACTATGTGCCAGCCACAGACCTAGGGGTTGGAGACATAGATAAAAGTGAATGTGTCTGCCCTCAAGGGGCTTAGGGTTGGTCCTGCCAAGCCAAAGGTAGAGATAAGTGAGGCCACGTGGGAAAAGGCCTTGTCCCAACATGTGCCAGATGAAACGAGGGATGGTCAAGGCAGCCCTTGGTCCATCTGACTTATAATGAAGGGGCCCAAAGTGACTTTTCCCTCTCAAGGGAACAGGAAGGGTACCTATTTGGTGGGTTCCATGCAAACTGAGCACAGTGCCTGGCACATGACAGGTGCTTAACATATGCTGGTTTAATTGAATGGAGCAAGCCAGCAAGTCGTTATTTCCCAAGGCTGGTGAGATGATGCCATTTTTAGCCTACCACCTGAACAGCACATAAATGTAGCCCTGATGGTTACACTGAGTCACGTGGCACCCCCCTGGGCTTCTTGGGAGTGCCCAGCACCTGTTCCTACATTTGGTGTAGGGGATGGGCTGTGCCAACCAAGGCACCTGTCACATCCTGGGCCCAGATGCCAACCTCTGTCTGGCTCTGAGAAATAACCTTGGATGAGGCCTCAGGATGCCTGGCTTTCAATTCAGTCTCAGACACTTACTGGCTGTCTGACTCAGGGCAAATCACAAATCTATGCCTCAGTTTCCTCATGTGTATGTGGGGATACCACCCCCTGCTGATCCTGCTGATGTCACTGCATGGTTGTACCTGAAGCCTTTGATGGGGCACTGCCGGCAGACGGAGCACTTGGTCTGATGCTTCACCTGCTCGGCAATGGTCACGCGGTGCAGCACGGCCAGCCACACCATGGACTGTGGTTCCAGGTTGGCCCACTCCAGAAACTGAGCAGCTTCAATGACTGGCTTCCCTGTGCTCTGGGGAAAGGTTTTTCAAATGCCACAGGAAGAGCTGAGGCCCAAGGTAAGCCTAGGGAATCCTTCTCCCAGAGGCTCCCACACTGCTGAGCCAATCCCCTCCCTGACCCCCTGGCAGAACCAGAGTGACCCCCACGAGCCCACCCTAGGCAAGGCCTCCCCTTGCCCCGTACTCACGAAGCGGAAGCAGCTGCGGACGCTGGGCTCCACGTTGCTCCCCCCAAAGGCTGCCACTTCCCCCAGCTGGCGAGGTACCTGGATGGCCTCGTGTAGCAGAACCCCCAGGTGGCGCTGGTCACACTGGCTGCCCGACGTAGCCACCTGGCTGAAGAGGTCTGCAGGACAGCCACCAAGGAGGAAAGAGCACAACAGGCACGCAGTTAGCTGGAGACTCCAGGGAGCTTTGCAACCCGCGAATGCTGGGCCCTGAGAGCTCAAAGACCCACTTTTGAAGATGAGTTCAGCTGGGGGTCGTGTGGCGGGAGGAGATACGTCAGGGAGAGGCCTTGGAGCCCAGGCTACCGTGTGACGGAGGGAAGATGACAAAAATCCAAACGGGGGCCTGCGGGGGAGACCGCTGCCAGGGCACGGAGCTGGGCAAGGCTGGGCGCACTTCACCCGGAGTAGTCTTGCTAACAAGAAACTAAGCTCCATGGTTTCTCCCTGCTGAAGTAGAACTGCTGCAGCCACCCTCTAAACGTTGGCACCCTGGTACAAAACCCTGTTCGACTGGGCCTAGTTATGACCAAAAGCACCGAGAGCGTGTTGTTCCTGAGTGACGGGGGCAGCGTCAGGCCGGAGAGAGACTTGGGGGAGGGGGCGCTAGCAGCCGGCCAGGCAGACACGCACCCCACTGTGTGCTAAATGGAGCGCTGACCTGCTTCCTCCCAACTGTCCACATCAGTGGTCCTCAAAGAGCAAATAATCCCCCAATCCTTTCTGAATGGCCCTGGGATCTCCTTGGCCTGAGTCTGAGCCTGAGAACCCCGGAGAGTCTGAGCTAGGGTAGCTGTCGTGGAAATGGAAAGAAGGAAATGGCAAGAGACTGCCAAGGTAGGACCCACAAGAATTGGCATCTTCTAGCGGGAAGGGGCAGAGGGAAGAGGCCAGACTACCTGAGGTCACGAGCCTGGGTGATTGCAAGCTGACAGGAGGGACAAGTGGGAAGTCGGTCACTTTGCTTGGGAATGCGTCGAATAGACGGATGAGGCCTGCTCTTTCCGTGGGAGGCGAGACCTGTACCGTTCACGTCAGTGAGTTTCCATTTCCATTGCAGCTACCCTATGGTCAGACTCTCAATTTCATTGTGGAGTGCCCTGGGGATCTGTGCTCGGCCCTGTGCTGCTTAGTATGTTTACCAATGACTCAGATAAAGACACAGATGGCATGCTCAGCAGATTTGTGGTTGACACAAAACTGGAGGAGGGAGTCAAGACAATGGCTGACAGCCACAGTGCCGGGCTGAATCTAATAAGATGGAATTTAATAGGAATAAATGGGAAGTCTTACGGGGGGGGGGAGGTTTAGTGAACTGAAAGCTCCGTATGAATTGGCAATGAGAGGTGGGCGCCAAGCATGCCAGCCCCACCTCAGGTGGCATCAGAAGCCCCAGCAGAGAGATCACAAGCTCACTGGCTTCTGCTCTAGTCAGGCTTCATCTGGAGCACTGGGTTCAGCTTTGAGCGCCGTGATTTAAGGACACTGAAAAGCTAAAGAGAACCCAGAAGGTGGCAACAATGGTAGGGAAGGGTCTTGGGTCTATGTCATATGAGGACTGGTTCAAGGAAGTGGGAGTGTTTTGCCTGGAGAAGAGAAGAGTCAGGGAGGCCAGGAGGATTGTCTTCAAGTATCTGAAAGACTGGCAGGTGGAGAAGGGACTAGAGGCCATTACCAGGAGCACTAGAGGGGAAGCAGCCGAGAGGCCAGCTGAGGCTCCGCCTTCCCAACAATGAAAGATGTTCCAGAGTGGGGCGGGCACTTCCCTCTCCAAGCTGGACAGCCACTCGGGGGGCATGGGACATGGACAGATTCCCTTCAGGTAGGGGCTTCCAATTCTGAAATTCGGCCGTTCTGGGATTTGAGACAAGCCTCCTCACCGGTCCCCTCGCCACTTTGCTCTCCTCTCTGCAATCCACTTCGACACTGTCCCTCCCTCTACTCAAAACCCTTCTCTGGCTCCCCACTGTCTAACAAATCAAACATAAACTCCTGAAGCTCAGACAAGGTAAATGACTTGCTCAGGGTCATACAGCTGATAGCAGGGGAAGTAAGACTGAAACTGAGGTCTTCCTGACCTCAAGGCAAATGCTCTATCCACTCAACCAATAAAGAAGAAAGACAGAAAGCTGCTGTTGAACTCCAAGATAACGGGCTCTTGGGAGCTTCCTGCATCATCAACTACATAGGGGCCAGTAGAGGAAGAGCTGAAGTCTCCCCCCCCCACCCATTCCCCCCATCTGCTTCAATCTGGGTTGCTAAACCAGCCTGGCCCTGGGAAACAAACTGGGCTCCAGGCCAGGCCCCTGAGGCAGAGCCACTGGAAGCACCTCAAGAGTGGCCCCGGTCTCTGGTGCTCTCCTGATAGGTTGCAGCCAACCTGTAGGCCCAGGCAGCCTTGCAGGACAGCTCTCAAAACCAGCTAGGGGAACTGACCCTCTGTGTCCGCCCCTGTCTGCCATGCCCCCTTCCCGGCTTTCAGAATGGAACTCACACTGAAATTTCTCTTTTACTTCTGTTCCACACAAGCAGGCAATGCCAGTCTTAAAGGACAGGGCTCGCATCTTCCCGCTGCGCCCACTGGGAGATGAAAAGGAAACAGATTGAGTGCTGGAGCGGGCAGTGCCCTGGGTATTGACGAGGCCCCGCTCCAGTCTGGCTCCATTTCTTGGCCCACACCTCTTCCCCCGGGGCCAGATGGGGTCATCCTGGCTTACCTATCGAACACATTGAGGAGCCAGTTGAGGCTCATGTCCACACAGAGTGGCACATTCACCAAGATGCCCCTCTCCTCCTCCAGCCGCTCGTACAGCGCTGTCAGGCAGTGGATGACCTCAACCACATCCATCACATGCTCACTGGGCTGCAGATCATGCTCATTAAAGATCTCCAGAGCTGTGTTCAGGGTTACCAGGTCCACTGCGGGGAGGTCGAGCCAATATCAAACCCCCAGGGACAAGGCAAGGACATAAACAAAGAGCCCAAGCGTGAGCCTGGCAAGTTGATGCAAGCCTTGCCTACTTCCAGTATGCCACGTCCTTAACGCTGCTACTCCTACTGTGGGTCACAATGAACTGTCTTTCATCAGCCCCAGGGTGAAGAAGGCCCCTCCTCAGTCCCACCCATCTCAGCATCTCCTCCTGAGTTCAAGGATATTGGGCCCAGAAGCCCAGCTGGGAGGACCTCATATTGCTCTGCCTTAGGAGACAGCTTTACTCCCCTCAGGCCTGGCAGACCTACGGTCATGTAGCCCTAGCATTTCCTTCTAGTCTCCTGCTATGGAACCCCACCAAAAACTAGGAGTTTCTGGGGGCCGCCCAGGGCGGGGCCAAGAAGACATTGGCTCAGGTTCATATTCCAAACCCTTCCCAGACTCTGAACGGGGCTCATGAACCCGGCCCCCCGACCAATTCTTCCCCCATAAGCCAGTGAACTCTGACCACGGTGGACTGAAAGCTAGTGGGAGGGGCTCGAAGGCTGTAAGGGAAGCGGAGCTGGAGACATACAGCGTAGGGCCTTCTGGACTCGACGGAGTTTCATAGCTGTCCGGTAAGCTGAGAATTTGATGTTGTTCAGGTCAGCTGCCAAGAGAAAAAAGAGACTTCTCTCTGGGGCCAGAGGCAGGACAAAGGGAGTTGAAATCATCATGGCTTAGATGGGGACAAGGCCATTGTGCATGGGGGAGCGTCACATACAGTAACACAAATGTCCCTAGGGCCAGATGATGACCCTTGGCTCGGGTAGGAAATTGAGGAGGGACAGGGCAAGGATCTCCCCAAAGCCTGGTATCCTCGAGGGCCGAGGCCACTGTGGGGCTTCCCACCTACACGTTCACGTTCTTACCCAGTGTTTGGTACAACTCGGTCATCTTGGGGTGGTCCCAGCATGTGGTCTGAGCCTGATGGCTACAAAATAGAAGGACGCGAGCGTCATTCACACCAGGCTTTGCCCATGTGCCCCCCCCCCACACGTACACACATGTATGCACATGGACATACAAGGGGAGATTCAGAAACATCTACAACAGGGCCCAGGGCCCTGAAGATGAATGTGAGTGGAAAATGGAGGGGGTGAAAGCAGCCAGCCAAGGAACTTGCAGCCAAGACAGGGAGACATGGGCTAGGTGGGTGTCTGGCTACTGCTTCTACCTGCGCCCTACACATACACACGGACACAGACACAGACACACACACACACACACACACACACACACACACACACACACACTCACTCACTTGATGTAGTAGGGCACTTTATTAGGTGAAATTGCTCTTTCCCAGGGGACCTGCACAGAGGCTGGTGAGGGAAGAGAGAAAGACAATGCAAACTGGCTCTGTGTGCCCCCCCAACCCCCCATCCATGGGGTGCGAGCAGCCAGCCTGGGGTCCTTGGCAGACAAGAAAATTCTGCTTAGAGGTAAAGGCATTGGATTCACACCTCTGCCCCCCACATGCCACAGAGGTGCCAAGGATAGAAAACAGTGCACAGGTGGCTATCTCTGTGGCCAACTGGAGAGCCCCTGGTGCTCCCAGCAGGCTGGCAACCTTCCCTGGGGAGGGCCCATTAGCACTGGGTTAGGGCACAGCCTATTTCTGGCTGGTGGAATGGGAGTGCTCTCTGTACCCCATGACAACCATCTCTGTCGACAGCCTTTAAGGATCTCTCATGCTGCTCCATCTCTAGCCTTGGCCAATCTTACAACCCCAGGACCTCAGGGGTAACAGAGCATCTATGTGAATAGCAGCAGAGATGCCAAGTCTTCTTCATTGCTCCAGTGAGACACTATGCTATTAGAACATGGAGCCTTGGGGACTTTTGAAAGTCCCTCCCCCTACAGACCTCATTAAGGGGACAAAGCTCTCTCCTGATTAGGTCTCAGAGCCTGAGGCTGGCCCAAGCCCAAGTGGCCAATTCAGGGACAGGTCTCAGTGACTGGGGCTTCTCTCCCCACCCCCTCCAACCCTCCACTGGGTTTCTGGGCTCCCTGAAGGCTCCAGAGCGCCTAAGGGGGACTCTCCACACCCGCTAGACTGAGGCTTAGGGATGCTCTGTTAAGCCACGCTCGTCTTGGCTCACGCACTGGACAGGAAGTGCTGGGATCCTGGCCCAAAGTCCCGGTGGGCATCCTGGAGCTGCTTGAGCCGTTCATTAACTGAAACCTGTGGGAAAAGTAAACAAGAATGAAGTTGACTCCAGAACTCAAGAGATTTCTGGATGCCCTGGAATCATCTGTTAACTTCTTCCTGGACTGGCCTCCCCTGAGCCCCTAAAACTGGGCCCCAGTCACTCCCCACCCGTCTGAGGTGGGGCACCCTGATCTCGACCTGCAGCTCAGGGGTCCACAGTCTCCTAAGCCCTGGGAGCCACCCTTTCACTTAGCCCTCTTGGAGAGTTTGGAGCTCTCAGACTTTCCCCATTCACCTTAGTGAGACCTTCTACCTTCCTCTGCCTCCCTCCAGCTCACTGCCAGGCATCGCTCCTACCTGCAGCTGTTTCCAGCGAGTATTGATTTGCTCCAGGGCCCGGGAGTTCTCCATGGAGAGGTGCACATCAGAGATGGCCAGCTGGTGAGCGAGCTCATTCACCAGCTTCACTCCTTCCTTCACTGCGGATAGTTCCTCTGTGAACAGCTACAGGGAAAAACGGGCCCCAAGCCCAGCAGGGACAAGGGACACTGGTCACTCCTGTACACTCCTCCTTCCTTATCCAGGGCTAGGATCTGTCTCAACGCCCCTCATGAGGCCAGCCAATGTGAACTAACAAGCCCCACAGATGAGTGCCCTCACCCCATCTCCACTTTGACACCTCTGGAAACACTGTAGGAGCCCAAAGCCAGCCCCCTGTGCCCAGTGATGCCCTTGGAGCCCAAAGCTAGACTTTGTACCCAGTGACGCTCTCAGCCCCTGGTGAAGTCCAGGCTAGCAATGGTACATGGCAAACACCCAATGGGTGCAGGTCCCTTGTACCTTAATAGCCTGGATATGCTCTGGCAAGGAGTCGATGAAGAGGTCCCCGATGGGCTCCCAGGCAGCCCGGATGCCCTCAGCCTGGGTCAGGGCATTCCCCAGCTCCCCCATGGCTCCATGGATCTCTAGAAGCTGCTCCAAGGTCCGCTCAATGTGGCGATGTTGATCCACACAACGGGCAGTCAGCTTCTCCCACAGCTCGCTGGCCACAGTTGCCTGCTTCCACACGAAGCGGCTGAGGTTCTGGATCTTCTGTCTGGGGGAGGCATCTGCCAAGGAAGGTCGGGGTGACAGCCAGAGCACCAAAGGGAGGGCATGGTGACACGGAGGGGCCTAGGGGGGAACTGCCTCTCCTAGTGCCAGGGTATAGATCATTCAAAGCTCCTGGGGTGGGGGATGGGCTTCGAAATGTGATTTTGTGCTGTCTAACCAAAGAATGGAGCTCCCTGGCTCAGGAGATCCTCTACAAAGCCTCCAGCCTCCTGCATTAGTTCCTGAGCAGGGCCTGGAAGCAACGCCTGGGAGGCTAGGGCCAAGGCCCACCTTGACCCAAGCCTGCCTGCCTGCCTGCCTCTCTCTCTCTCTCTCTCTCTCTCTCTCATTATATTGAAGGAACAAGTTACTCTGTGTGTGTGTGTGTGTGTGTGTGTGTGTGTGTGTGTGTGTGTGTGTTTGCATGTGTGTGTGCTCCCACTGAGCTGGGAATAACCAGTGCCAGTGCCAGTTGCTGGCCGCTAAGGACTTCCTTTCCTTAAGGGCTGGATATCATTTGTGTGCCTCCATTCCAGGGGGCCTAGGAGCAAAGCCTCTCTCAGGCCAGACTATCTGTCAGGGCCCTTCCTGAGTCGGACCAGGCCGGTAGGGGCCAGGCCTCTGGAGATCCAGACCAAGAATGACCAGCCTGAGCAGAGGAAAGGTCAGAAGTCATCAGGATCATCCCAAAGGGCACAGACGAGCTGTCGTTCTGTGCACTTTTGGAAAAAATTGTATTCCTTAGGCCCTTGGGTGCCCCTGGACATGTGACATCACAGGCTCATCAAGGACACATAGTTCTCATCACAGCATCAAGGCAGTACCGCACATGAGCTAGAGAGCTGGCCTCATAACCAGGAAGCCCTGAGTTCAAGTTCTGCCTTGGCTGACACACTGGCTGTGGGACTCTGGGCAAAGCCCTCCTAGATAACTGCAGAAGACTGTTGTGGAGGTGCCAAACTGAACCAGTAGAAGGGATTTCCTCACCCGGGAGTTTGCCGTACCAAGCAAATCACAGAGCTGGTCCCTTTCCCTATGCTTCCAAAGGCAATGTTGGAAGCCTCGAAGTGACAAACACTAAGAGGCCACAATCTCTGCCCCCAGAAGTTTAGAATCGAGGCTGAGGGTGGCAGAGGGAAAATATGTACACAAAGAAAAGCACCAAAATCCAGAAAGGACACATACGTAATGAGGGGGTCTGGGGCTATAGATTATAGCCCAGCTGTATATCTGTACTGGATGGAGGTATTTCCACACTGGGAGTCCTCCCCAACCAGAGTGCTTTGAGATCCAGTGAGAGGGCAATCACTTCCAGATGGGGGACAGTGTTTCCACATGTGACCCTAGGGCCACAGAGCACTCTTCCCTGCCTGTTCTTATACTCCCCAGGCCTGAATCTCCCCTATTGTGATCTTTTCCCTCAGGACAGCTGGGATTGGCATCCGTATTGGGAAGGTGGGGGGGGGGGGGAATCAGAAATGCAAAGTAGAAGGTGAAAGAAAGGAAGGCCACCCACCTTTGTTCTCACAATGGGGTTCTTCCAGTTCCTCAAAGGGGTGCTGGGAGAGGAAGGCCTGAGCTGACTCAAGTACCGAGTAGATATAGGGGCCTCGGGACTTGACCTCTTCCATAAAAGCCTGTAAAGGACAGAAAGAGTGAGAGTCCCCAGACCCCCCAAGGCCTGCTTCCCTGGGCCTGACATTGCCTCCCACTCTTCCCAAGAACCCTGAGCAGTCATTCTCCCTGGAGCCTCCGATGAGCAGTGGCATGGTAGCATCATTAGGCCCGATACCAGTGAGCAACATGGCCTAGCTGGCCCTGGAACCTGCCTCCTGAAACGAGTGGGTCCCACGGGGAATTTTCAGAACTCAAATCAAAGGTAGTTAGGAAAGGCTAAAGAACAGGAGGCTTTTTAAACCTAGACACGGGCAGATTTAGAAGGTGTCTGGCATTATCTTCAAACATTTGAAGGATTGTCTTGGGAAAAGGGGACTGGACTTGTTTTGCTTGGTCTTGGAGGGCTAAAGTAGGACCATCAGGTCCTAAATGTAGGAATGTGTATTTCAGCTCAATATAAAGCCATCAGAGCCACCCAGAAATGGAAGGGGTGAGTTCCCCGCAAGGGGAGGTCTCTGAGCAGAGACTGGATGTCCTATGGCAGGCTCTGGAACGCTGACCTACCGAGTGAGTCTCCTTTTCCTTCTGTACCAGGGCCACGGCCCCCTGGAGTGGTAGCTGAGCAGACAGTTCCTCATCCTTCTGGCTGAGCCAGTCAATGATCTCTTGAAGAGGGGGCTGCAGCTTCCCACTGGGATCTGAGAAGGCCTCAAGTCGAGCCCTGCAGGCAGTAGGCCAGAAGGACCATGAATGGCCCATAATTCACTTACCTGGCTCATCAAGGTCCCACTGATTCACTTGGATGACCTTGGCTTGAGATCTACCAGGGCACCCTGCCTCTGAGTAGGGAAATAGGGGTGGAACTGCAACTAGGTCAAAGTTACAGCAAGTCCGTCTCAATTAGCAGCATGGCCTGGCGGAGAAGGAAACGGCCTGGCGGAGAGGGAAGTGGCCTGTCGGAGAGGGAAACGGCCTGGCGGAGAGGGAAACGGCCTGGCGGAGAGGGAAGTGGCCTGGCGGAGAGGGAAGTGGCCTGGAGGAGAGGGAAATGGCCTGGCGGAGAGGGAAGTGGCCTGGTAGACTTGGCTTCAATGTATACAGGCTGTGGGACCTCTTAGTGCCCCACACACCTCTCCAAGATTAGATTGCAGAGCAGATGATCACCTAATGGCGGGTGGGGGGGGGTGCCCTATACCAATGACATAACAAGTCTAATCTCGTCCTTATCCTTTCTTAATGATCGGAGCCACCCAAAATGGGTTAGGAGTTCCCCATCACCATAGGGCTTCAAGCAGGCCAAGCCAAGCAAGCTGGAGAGGGATGGGGATAGAGCAGCTCTGGTGCTGGGGGTGGGAGGCTGTAGCCTGGCTAGCTGTAGCTGCTGGGAGGGACCTCTGCCTGCCTCTAGGCACACTGTAGAAAGCTAGAGACTAGCCAAGGGGTTGAGGCCTCAGAGGCCTGCCACTTGGGATCTGGCCAGTGGGGAACAGCCCTAGGACAGGGAGGGGGTGAAGAAAGCAAGGCACTGGCCTGGGCCAGACAGAAAGAGGGCCAGGGGAGCCCACCAGAGGGCTGTGCTTTCTTTTAGATCCGCCAACCTGGTGAGGAGGCAGCACAGTGAACACCCATTTTTCTTTATTTTTCGACAAATGAGGCAGCTTCAAGAGATGAAAGGAATTCTCTGAGGTGATACAGGAAGTGAGCCCGTTTTGGGACTAAACCTAGGTCCTTTATTTCCCAGTGCAGTGGTCTTTCCAGCAGACCATAGATGGCAGGAAAGCTGGCAGAGGGAATGAAGAGAGGAAGAAGAAAGGGGGATTGCTGAGGGCCCCGAGAGTCAGAAGAATGGAAGGAAGCTGGCCCTGAGCTAAGGGGAGGGCGCAAGTCAGGGGTGCCAGGAGCCATGGGGCTTACCGGAGGTTGTGGGACTTCTTTTTTATTTCATTCCAGCACAGATTCATGGCTGGAGCATCCAGGGGCCCGATGGCACTGTTCAGGACTTGTTGCCTCACACAGGTCGGCTCTGTGCCATCCTGAGAAGCCGCAGCTGTGGCTCTAACCTGGACAAAGGCACAGACACCGATCCACACAAGCAGCTGAGGACACACCGCCATGGTCAGAGGAAGGGAGAAGCTCAGCCTCAGTCCGGGTCCCAAGGTTCATCTTCTAGTCTAACCCCTCACTCGTGGCCTCTGGGAGCTCTGTTCTCTGCCAGGATCTTGCCGTGTCTGTGGCAAGATCATCACCCTCCACCTGAGTGGGCATCAGAGGCCCCCAAAAGAGGAGAACAAAAAAGCCCAGGACTGTGCCGAGACCCCCTGCAGGGAGGACGCCTGACCTTGGCATTTCATTGGTAGAAGGAACTTCAAATCTTAGAGAGGTGCCCAGGGCACTGAGTCATACAACCAGGGTCATAGAGCCAGTCTACACCGAAGGCAGGACTTGAACCCAGGTCACCCTGCCTGGGTAGCCAAACATGCTGCCTCTCTGCAAACTTGAGCTAACCTAGGGAGCTCTGGAACAGCTCTCTTTCTTCTCACCCTAAGCAGCTTAAGAATGGTAGGACAGCAGTTTGGGAAACTGAGGTCCAGACATTATGCCTGATGTCATGACCCCTGTCAGCCCCTGGCCCTGGGATGAGCTCATATCCTCCTGGGCAACATCTTTGTCCTCACATCTCCAAGGACCCTGCCACAGGGTGGCAACCAAGCAGGCCCAAACATGGACTCAACTGGGGTAGAGGGGACTGGGGCTCCATGTCCCTCTCTAGTACCAGCAGGACCTCAAGGGTGGCCCAGAGTAGAAGGATGAGGGAAGGAGAGAGAACTCAGGTGCAGCCTGGGAAACTTCCCCCCCCCCCATGGAGGGACCCTACCTGTGTTGGGTAGGGGCTCCTCAGCCGGCTCAGGCGGCAGCAGCTCCATGGGCCCTGGCATTAATGTCCTCACCTCATTTGCTGCCTGGGCGCTGCCAGGCAGAGACCCGATAGAGCACTGGCCTCAATCAAAGGAGGTGGATTTGCTCTCAGCAGGCGGGTGGGCTGGTGGGCTGGGAGGCGGGAGCAGGCAGCCCCTGTCACCCTGTTTACTGACCCCCCAGGAATCCAGAGGGGGGCGGCTATAGCAGGGCTTTCCTGGTGAATCATAGCTTTGTCCATGTGGAATTTCTGCCCTTGATCTCTCTCTCTTTCTCTCTCAATCGTTCTCTCTCTCTTTCTCTCCTGGCTCAGCCATCCTGGGCAGTCTGCTCATTCTGGCTGGAGGGATGAGGGGAAGATTGGGACATCAAGGTTTACTGTGCCTGAGGAGGGGGTGATTAGTAGAGACTTCCAAGCCCAGGGCTACATCTTCTCTCTTCACAGGCTGGGAGTGAAGGCTAGAAGGTGCCCCCGATACTGAATGGGGAGAGCTGCTGGCACCCACCAAGAAATACCCCAGAGGCAGAGCAGAGGGAAGGGAAGGGAATAAACATTTATATTGTACCTACTATGCGGCAGGTACTGTGCTAAGTGCTTTACAAATATCTCATTTCGTCCTCACACCTTGAGAGGCAGGTGCCATTATTTTCCCCATTTTACAGTTGAGGAAACTGTGGCAAGCAGAGGTGAAGTGACTTGTTCATAGGCACATAGCTAATCAGTGTCTGAGGCTGGATTTGCACTCAGGTCTTCCTGACTCCAGGCCCAGCTTCTTAATCCTGAAGCCATCATGCTAATAACAGCATGCTTTACATACATTCTCATTACAGTTCCCCACCAGCCCTATGAGGGGGGTACTATACTATCCTGTTTTACAGGGAAACTGAGGCTCAGAGAGCCTTTGCCCAGGGTCCCCCAGGCAGTGTCAAAGGTGGGATGTGAACTGAGGCCTCACTGACTCCAAGTAATGGGGACAATGAAGGATGGAGATGGGATAGCCGGACTGAATCACAGCTGTAAGCCCGCCTCTGGCCTCCCCTACGGAACCTAAGGGACAGAACCTCGGGGTCAATTGGGCTCGAGTCTGCCTCTCCAAAATGAGGTATGTGTGTTCTGGGGGGGAGATTGGAGAGGAAGACGACCCCAGCCTGGACAGCTGGGAGGTAGCTTCTGGGGGTATACGCAGAGTGTCAGAGCAAGATGCAGCACTGGACGCAGTAGACCCAGCCAGCGTGCTTCCAAGGAGCGCCACCTTCCCTCCTCCTCCCAGCAGACCTGCCTGGGGAAAGGTTAACATTCCAAGCCTGGAGGCTCACCCTCCCTGCCACCTCCCAATGGAAAACACTTTGTTTTTGCCAAAAGGCCTCAGCTGCTCCCACAGAACCCTCTGCACATTGTTCCCATGCTTGGGCCCACCTACAGGAATAGCTGCCTCAGCTGCCTGGCCCTCCTATGGTGGACACCATCCCTCCAGCGCCCCCTCCTGTCCCTACTTTGCCCTGGAGTAGGGCTGGGCCTCCTCTGGCCAGCCTGCCCTGCTCACTTACAAACTCTCTGCTCTGGGGGACTCCTGCCCTTCTTTCTGCCTTCTGTCTGGTGCCAAAGCCCCTCCCCCCATCACCCTAGAGCTGGACCTCCGCTCCCTGCTCCCACCTCACAGCCCTTCCTTCAGGGCTCATCGCTCACCATGGAGCTTGTTTGGAAAAGCCAGGCTGGATTGGACACCGGGTTCTACCACTACCTTGCTATATGACCACGAGCAGGTCCCCAACTCCCCACCACGGCTCTCTAGGTTTTCTTAGTTTTCGGCTCTGCCGAGGGAGGGGATCCAATTCTTTCTTCCAAGGTCCTTTCCAGCTCTGGCATGCTATCAGGCTAGCTCTGCCTTGGGCACAAGGGGCTGGGCACAATGGAGGGAAGCAATGAGGGAGAAAGAGTCCAGGGCAGGGAACTGAGCCATGTTTTACCATCATTTACCAAACTGGACTTTTACCCTCATACTGCCAACCTTTGGGAAATGGTCAGGTCCCCTGAGCCCAGGTGCTCAGACTGGGGTTGGGCGTGTCTAAGGAGGTAGCTGGGCTAGAAAAGGCAAACCTTCAGTTGGCCTCAAGTATGGCCCACTAGGCAACTCTGCAGGCCTGGTCTTGTGGTCTCAAACGCCCATGCCGTGGGCCAATCTCATCTTCTGCCCCGGGTATCACTAGCTCTGCTGAAATTCTTGGACACTCCAAGTTCTCTATCTCGATCCTCTCTTGTAGGCCTCCTGACCATCCCACCTTCTTCTCCCTATATCCCTCCTGAGATGTCCCTGTTCCTCAGTCCCCTTGTACGGTGCTGGCTCCCTTCCTGTCTACCATATATTTAGTCACCACCCTCGCGGCCCTCCTTGGTGAGTCAGCACTGCAGGCCCAGCTGTGAGCCCCTGGCTTCTAGACTGGGAGGATACCACTTTCTCCCCACCATCCCCCAACCCGCCCCAGCCTAAAGATACTAAACCGATTCTCTCCTTCTTGGGCCTGGCAGCTCCCCGATGAGCTCTCTCAGTATTGGTGGGGGGAGGTGGGGCCACTTTTCCCGAGCTGCCTCTGGACACTGTTGCATCCTCCACCCTTAGGAAGAGGCCAATCACTCACATTCTCCCAGGGTCCCGTATTCTAGTGTCCTGGGCCAAGAAGTGAGCCCTAGGGCTGGGCTGAGAACCAGCAGGTTTCTCCAGGCTTGTGGGCCCTAAGGAATGGGGAGAAGATAGGTACAGCCTTCCCTAGACAAGCCTCTGGTGGATATCCTTTCACTAGAGACAGAGACCTTGAGACAGATGAAGCTCCCCACAGGATGGCTAGAGTTAGATTGAGCTGAAAGAGGGTAAAAAGGGAAGAAAGAAAGCAATGGGAATAAGGCCTTGGAGGTTGGGAGGGAGGGAAGGGAAATGTGGGAAAGAGTTGAAATCCAGCCAGGCTTAAAACTCATGAACTCAGTTAGTGGTGCTCACTCCTTAATCTTGGACGGCAGAGGGCATGTGGTCTGCCCTTACGAGTCGGGCCTGGCACTGGGGCACTCCCAGGCCAGAGGCCTACCCAACGTGGCCCTTCCCAACTAAAGTTCTGAGGGTGGGCTGCTCTGCTCACCTAGCCCCCCGAACTCCTCCCCCAAGGTAGCAAGGAAAGGAGAAAACCTGAGTACAACCAGAGGAAGGCCCCATTTGGACAGATCCTCTAGGCTGACTTCAAAAAGGCCAAGGGTAGGAGCAGAGGGGGCCTGTATACACAGATGGGCCCTTGCCACACACATATAAGTCCTAGGAAAGGTCCAAGACTAGCAGCATGTCCTGGCTGCCCCCAGTTGGAGTCTATCCACCTGAAGTCTGCTCCTTCCATCAGGCCAAGTGGTACCGTTTGAAAGACAAAATCAATCACTGTATTCAGAGGCCAGAGGCCAAAGGCCGGGGGTCAAATGTTACCTCTGCTACTGTGTGGCCTTCTGTGCCTCCTCTATTGACCTGGCTGACCTCTGCTGTCCCTTCCACTTCTAAATCTCTGCTAGGTTCCTGAGGACTGGAGACAGCCTGACAGTGGAAAGGATGTTGTATTTCAAGTCCAGATGGCCTGGGTTCAAATCCCACCTCTCTTTCTTACTTCCTGGGTAGTCTTAGGCAAGTCACTTCCTCCCCTTGAGACTCAGTTTCCTCCTCCGTAAACGAAAGGGCTGGACTGGATGTTCTCTTCTATCTCCTCTGGCTCTTACCTGAGGCTGGGGGCGGGTGGTGTTGAGGCCACCGTTGTGCTGGGATTGGTCAGCTGCCCGCCACTCATGACATCGTGGGAACGTGTAGGGACATCCCTGCATGACCATGGGCCGCATCAGAACAGCAGCTCATGGAGGGGCAGGGCAGCGGACAAAAGCACCTGCAAGAGCAACAGAGAGAGCCCGCATTAGGTCCTGGCAAAGGCTGGTAGCCCTGGAGAAGCCCCACCAGCCAACGCCGACTTTCTTCCCAGCCTGGCCTCCCTTGTGGAAGTGGCACAAGGAGTAAACAGAGCAAAACGAAGGATCCAAAGGGCAGGGGCCGAGCTTCTCTACGATTAAACCATGGGTCCAGCCAAGGCCAAGACTGAGGGGTCTGGAAGGCAAAGGACACTACAGACCACCCACTGCCTGCCTCCCCCCACCCCAACCTTGTTCCACTCCAATGGATCTGGATCTCCCTTCAATGATGGAGATGGCAACTTATCCATGAACCCCTAGGAGGCTGAGATAGGGACTCCATCCAACATGCTGGAGACTCTCTTTCTCTTAACATCTCAAGGATACCAGTTGGTCAATCAGAATTGATTATGCACCTGCTAAGTGACAGGCACTGTGCTGGAGATATAAACCCCAAATAACAACCATAGTGAGCATTTACATTGCACTTTGTTACTTATTTGATCCTCACAACCATCCTTGGAGGCAGGTGTCATTATTATCCCCCCATGTTACAGATGAGGAAACTGAGGGTAAGGGAGGTTAAACAACTTGTCCAAAGTGACATGACTAGTAAGTGTTTGAGGCGATACTTGAACTCAAAGTCAGGTCTTGCTGACTCCAAGTCTACCACTCTATCCATTGTGCCAGCTAGCAGCCCCAAGCAGACAAAACCAAGAGTAGCTTCTGCCCTCAAGGAACTTACACTCAAATGAAAGAGACAACGTGCACATATATAGAGAAATGCAAAACAGTAACTTGGAGAAGAAAGCACTAACATGGAGGGAGACCAGGAAAAGCCTCCTGGAGAAGGCAATGCTTGAGCTGAGCTCCTCCTCAGAAACAGGAGGAGGAAGAGAGAGCATGCTGTGCATTCGGGGCAGCCAGAACAATGGTGCAGAGGAAACAGCAAGGTCAGTTTGACTAGACTATAGAGCACATGGAAGAGAGTGAGATGTAAAAAGGCTCGAAAGAAAGGCAGCACCAGGTTAAAAATAGCAGCCGAGAGGAGGATGGATTGGAGGGAAGAGACACTCGGATCAATGAGAACCATTAGAGGGCTATTGCTCTAGTCTGAATGAGAAGTGATGAGGATCAAACTAGGGCCGTAGTTCTGTGGAGAGAAGGGAACATGTATGAGATATGGAGGGAAGGTCAAAGTAACAATATTTGGCAACAGACTGGATATGAGTGGTGAGAGGAAGGAGTTGAGGCTGACCCTGAGGTCACACAGCTAGGTAACTGGAAGTATGATGGTGTCCTTGACCAAGATCGGAAAGGTCGGAAGAGGTGCTGGTTTGGGAAGAGGGTGAAGTGCGGGTGGGTTGTTGGGAAATGCTGAGTTTGGGATAACATGCAGAACACCCTGGGTGAAATGTCTGATAGAATAGGAAGTTGGTGATATACGCATGGAACTCAGGAGACTGGGGCTAGATTTAGAGATCTTGGAGTCATCTACATAAAGATGATAATTAAACCCACGGGAGCCGATGAGCAGAGTGTAGGCAGAAAAGAGAAACCGTCCTGGGACAGAACCTTAAGGAATATCCACAGTCAAAGGGCGTGATCTGGACAACAGGTCAGCAAAGGAGACCAGTGAGTGGTCAGACAGGAAGGAAGATAGCCAAGAAAGCAGTGTCACAAAGACCAAGGAAAGAGAGAGTGTTCAGTGCTGCAGAGAAGTCAAGAAGGATGACAACTGAAAAGACACAATCAGATTTGGTGAATAAGACTTTGGAGAGGGCAGCTGCAGTAGAGTGATGAGGTCAGAAAACAGATTGCAGAAGGTTCAGAAGACAGTGAGAGGAAAGGAAATGGAAGCAGCGAGGGTAGACGGGGAATAGTAGGGTCCAGTGAGGGGTTACCAGTGGAGGGAGTGGGTGACCCCATCAATTATTCCTCACTGTCATCATGGAGCTAACCTACATTTTTCATCTTTTCTTTGATGACATCATCCTTTGTTCAGAACAAGTCGCAGTCTGCTCTCCTCTCCACTGCATTCTGGAGGGAGGGGGTGTTTGTTTTCAGTTCTTCAGAGATTACAGTATGTCATGTCTCACATGAAACATACATGAATTCTCAAGATAGCCCCATTCTTCTCAGCTCTACAAAAAGCTCTCTAGAATGAATAGTAAAGAACGGCATCCTCTGGACGCGAGATGTTTGCAAGAGTGATTGCTGGAAACCAAAGCACGACGTGGCCGTGCGTTCCAAGCTATAGAGGATAACTTCTCCCTGTCCTTCTGTTGATTCTGATCCCAGGTCAATGACCCATAAAACAACCAACCCCAGCTTATCTTCCTGAAACCCGACCGAGACAAAGGAAAGCAGCAAACTCTTTCCACTATAAGAAGTGAGCAGGTCACTGTCCTCCTTCCATCGACTGTTACTGCAATGGCTGGATGACTTTTCTGCAGTAGTTATCACTTTGTTCCCATGGAATGGGTGGAGTGACTGATGGTAGAGGGGAGGAAATGATTGAGGTGAGGGGGAAGGGTGCCAGGGAACTTTTAGGATTGGTCAGATGTGGTGGGGGTGCTCTTTTCATTCTCATGAGGCCTAAGGCTGTATTAGTTGTTCTCTTATGATGTTTAATACCCCAAAGAGGGGTGGGCAGAAGTGGTATTGTCTAGGTAGAGAGGCATGAGTGCTGGATTTGGAGTTAGAGGTCCTGGGTTCAAGGTCTGGCTCTGCCTACTTGTCTGTGACCTTGGGCAAATAATTTTCATCTCTTGGTCTCAGTTTCCTCATCTATTGAATGAGGGCCTTGGACCTAGTGATTTCTAAACTTTCTTTCATGTCCAAGTCAAAGATCCTATGAGCCAATGAACGTGCTGGCTGAACTGTTTTACAAACTGCATGCCTGGATGGACAAGTGATGCTCTCCCAAAGCTAACGACCTTGTGTTCTAAGAGCAGAGAACAGAGGAAAGCATGGGAAGCAGCTAGACGGGGCCTTTGAGGCCACTGAGTCTGAACTCACACCCCCAAAAGAAGTCCCACCTCAACACGCCCTCCAAGTAGCCATCCAGCTTTTGCATGAAGACCTCTAGGGACAAGGCAGTCGGTGGGGGTTACTGGATTCCCATCTGCAATTTCAATTCCACTCCTGACCATTAGTCCTTGGCTGGCCAGGCTGACCTCATCACATACAGGACATACTAGACTAACTTTGCTGCCTTTTTTGACATGGTTACAAAAATGGTAAATCAAGGGAATGTGGGTTTTAGTGAAACATCTGATAGAGACATGGGCTAGATAACTATACAATAAGATAGCTTTGAAACTGGTTGGATGGCCCAAAGGATAGTTATTAAAGGTTCAATGGTCGACTTGGAAAGAGAGTTCAAGTAGAGTGTCCCAGGAATCTATGGGTAGCCCTGTCCTATTTAACATTTTTATCAATGACTTGGCATGCTTGTCAGATTCACAAATGACAGAAAGCTGGGAAGGGTAAATAAGAGTCAAGATCATGACAGGCCAGAACATTGGGCTGAACCTAATTAGATTCAATTCAATAGGGATAAATGTAAAGTGAACTTGGGTTCAAAAAGTCAGCTTCACAAGTACAAGATGGGGAAGGAGTGGCCAGATGACATTTTGAAGAAGATTTGAGAGGTATAGTGGATTCTAAGGCTCATATCACAAAATCACAGAATTTGAGAGCCAAAAGGTACCTCAGTGGTCCATACAGAAAGGAATCCCCATTAGAAGATACCCAACAAATGGTCATCTGACCTGTGCACTTCAAGACCTGGGGGTGGGGTAGAAATCCCTCAATGTTAGGCCTCTCTGCAACTGGTCCTGCCCTCAGGGTCAGACAGATCAAGCCTCTTCCACTTGACAATCCTTCAAATACTTGAACACAGTAATCCTGTCCCCAATGAAAACATGCCCAGTTCCTTCAACTGATCCTCATATGTCATGGACTCAAGACTCCTTCCCATGCTGGTTACCCTCCTCTGGAAACTCTCCAGCTTATCGATGTCCTTAATATGAGTCAACAATGTTGACTTGGAGGCAGCTAGTGGCACAGTGGCTAGAGTGCTGAGCCTAGAATCAGGAGGACCTGAGTTCAAATCTGGCCTCAGACACTTCCTAGCTGTGTGACCCTGGGCAAGTCACTCTGTTTGCCTCAGTTTCCCTAACTATAAAATGGAGTTAATAATAGCACTTACCTTGCAGGGTTGTTGTGAGGATCAAATAAGATATTTGTAAAAAGCACTTAGCACAGTGTCTGGCACATAGTAGGGGCTATAAAAATGCTTGTTTCCTTCTCTTCCCCTCCCCCCTCCCCACCAGGATATGGCAGTCTGAAGAAATAAATACAAGCTTAGGGTCCATGTGAAGCACAGTATCCAGGATTGGGAGGTGATAATCCCACTGGATCCTACATTGAGCAAATTACATCTAGAATTAGCTATGTTCATTCTAGAGAGCACCTTTTATAAGGACACTGAGAAGCTGGGGAACATCCAGAGCAGGGAAAACAGGGTGGGGAAGGGCCTTGAGTCGATGTCACATGACTCTGGGCTGTTTCGTTCTGAAAAGAGAGGCCTTTGGGGTGACTTGAAGGGATGTCTCGTGGAATAGTGAGGGGACTTGTTCTGCTTCAGTAAAGTAAGCAAAACCTCCAAATAACATCAATGATAACTAGGGTAACATTAATAAAAACAACCTCTAAAAGAAGGCTGAATGCTGAGTAATGACGATCATCAGTCTCGATTCTGGAGAATTGAATTAAATTCAACAAGCATTTATTAAAAGCAAACTCAATGCCAGGTACTACTCTAGGGGACAGAGAGACAAAGAAAAAAAATTGAAACAGTCCCTGACCTCAAAGAGTTTTTGTAGCAGGGGTTTGCTGGTAAATATTTAACAACTGGCTCTCAAAAAAAT